AAAGAGTGGTCGGGCATTGGAACAGGCTGCCCAGGGAGGGGGTGGAGTCCCCATCCCTGGCTGTGTTTAAGGGCCGTTTAGATGCAGTACTGAGGGACATGGTGTAGGGGAGGACTTTGTAGAGTAGGGGAGATGGTTGGACTCGATGATCCCAAGGGTCTCTTCCAACCTGAATGATTCTATGAGTCTATGATTCTATACACTGAGCTCTGGGGATGCAAGACCCTGGCAAAATCCTGGCGCCGGCACACACAAGCCGGAGCCAGCCTGTGCCTGGTACAGAAGCTGCCTGTCTCTCTGGTGTCCCTGTCAGCATGCAAAGCAGGCAGGCCAGGGATGGTGGAAGGGGTGAGGTGCCCCCTCTCTGCCAGGCATCTGTACACCCAGGCTTTATCGCCGTCTTTCCGGGTGTCTTCTGGTCGCCTTTGCTCTTTACGGACAGGTTTCAGCGTATTTCTGCCTCTCTGTAGGAGGTGAGCACTCCAACCCTGCTCCTGTGCAGCTCACCTGCCCAGTCTGTGCCATATCCGAGCTGGTTTTTGGTTCCTAATGTCCTGAGGTCCACATTGTCTTACCCTGTGTTCTCCAAGAGGTGGGAAGCTTCCGCATGCCTTTTCTCCTTATACCTTGCCACTGTGATCCCTGTCTCCAACATAGAATCATAGAATGGTCTAGGTTGGAAGAGACCCTTGGGATCATCGAGTCCAACCATCTCCCCTACTCTACAAAGTCCTCCCCTACACCATGTCCCTCAGCACTGCATCTAAACGTCCCTTAAACACAGCCAGGGATGGTGACTCAACCCCCTCCCTGGGCAGCCTGTTCCAATGCCCGACCACTCTTTCAGTGAAAAATTCCTTCCTAATGTTCAATCTAAACCTCCCCTGTTGGAGCTTGAAGCCGTTCCCTCTCGTTCTGTCACTAATTACCTGTGAGAAGAGACCAGCACCAACCTCTCTACAGTGTCCTTTCACGAAGTTGTAGAGAGTGATGAGGTCTCCCCTCAGCCTCCTCTTCCTCATACTAAACAGCCCCAGCTCCTTCAGCCGCTCCTCATACGATTTGTTTTCCAGCCCCCTCACCAGCTTCGTCGCCCTCCTCTGCACTTGCTCCAGCACCTCGAGATCTCTCTTGTATTGAGGTGCCCAACATCAGCACCTAAAAACCTTTCTGGAGGGTTTTCCAGCATCCTGCTGGGATGAATTGGGATGAAGATGCAGCACTGAGCCCGCTGCAGCAGGCCCAAATCCTTGGACCACACTTAGTTAAAGGGAGATGGTGAGTGGGGGTCCAAACCCTCTTGCTTGGGTTTTATCACAGCGAACGCTGGAATTGGTGTAAAACACATTATGGCAGGTTAATGGACAGGGCAGAGGAGCTTAGGACACACAAAGCACTTTAGATTCTGTACTCACACCTCTGCCAGGGCAAAACTTGTAGGTAAGGCCTGGAGATCATCAGCTGGAGATGGCAGATGTCCTGGCATTGCAGTGAGGGAGATGCAGTCAGTGTGGGAAGGGAGCTCTTCGTGCATCTAGACCAGGAAATCAAACACTGTCTTAGTACAGACACATCCATAAAACCTCCCTGTCCTTCCCACCCCAACGTGCTTAGACTCCAGCCAAGTTCTGGCCAGATCACCCAAAGGAGATACAGGACAATACAGGGTGAATACTGCAGTGCTGCAAAGACAGGGATGGTCTCCTTGCCTGGCCTTTGCCTTATCCTGAAGCTGAGGTCTAGAGTAAGTTGGATGAATGAGCTTTTCTTTCTCTGTTGGCTACAAGGAGCCAGAATAAATGGGCTGTTGCCCCTTTTTCACACCATCTCCTCATAGGAGTACCCCAGAGTCAAAATTTGCCTTTCCTTCCTAAATTTTGGCATTTATCCCCAGAGATCTGCAAGCTGCTCAATGAACTGTGTCCCCCCATCACAGATCTGAGCCCCACAGACTCTTAGGAAAGAAAAACAAAGTCTTTGTGAACGTGCACAACGTCAGTCCCCCCAGCAAGGGTGCTATCTTTGGGCTTAGGCATCTGCAAAACTGAAATACCATTTGCAGAGACCATCTTCTGCCTTTTGTTGCTAAGGCAGCTCCATCAAACTCAGCAGGCAGATTCCCCTGGGGCAAACAAGGTGAAAAAACAAAGCCCAACCCTGAGAGGTGCTGAAGGAGAAAGCCTGGGAAGCGCAGGGAGAAAAAGAACTGGCTGGAAAATGTATTTCTAGGTTATGACAACTGCCATCTGCTAGAAAACGGAAGCGACGTGAAAACATTTTGTCTGTTATCAGAGGCTTTGGGTTGTGAGAGGAAGTGGGATTTGCAACCTGGTGCAGAGTCTGCTCTGACTTTGCTCTTTGTGCTGCCTCACCCTGGGATGGTTTGGTCGGTCCCATCTCTCTGCTTTCACTCTCTCTCTCTCTGGGTGTTTAACAACCCTCCCATCCTCTGTATCTCCAGCCTAGTGTGCCTGTCTCCCATCGTGTGCCTGTGCAAAACTATTCCTCTGTCTCCCCTCTGGCAGCAGCTGGTACCTGATGCAATGGAAGAAAAATAAGCCATTTCCCACACTCAGGCAAAATACTCATTTGCATGTACTTTTTTTTGGCCACCTTCATCCACCGCAGCTCTTATTGGGCACATATAAGCTTAAGGAGGCAGGCTCTGCTCCTGCAAACGTCTGTGTTGGCTGCACAAGGGTAACCACAGCCCTACAGAAACTGGTGGGGCTCCATCAGCATCAATTTCAGTTCCAGCATGAGCATCTGTGCGACGAGTTCTCCTCTTTTTTTTTTTGTTTGTGTGGCAGCAGGGAAGAGAAATATCTAGGGTAGAAGGGAAAGGGAGGGTATTGGGAGTGAATTCAATGCTCTGAGGTGGCCTCCAGGATCCTGCTGTGCCCTGAATCTGAATCTTTCCAAGCAGAGCTTAGCAACTCTGGAGGTTGCCAAGGAGCAGAGCAGGCAGAGGAGTGCCCAGTGCTGGGGTTTGGCTGCTCTGAGCATCCAGGCACATCTCGTCCTTGCAGCCCCTCAGCACGGCTCCACGGATGCTCCCAAGGCTTCCATGCTGTACCCAACCTGCAGCCTCTTGTTTCTCCATCACCTCCCAGTCCTGCTGCTTCTTACACGTGGAGGGAGGAAGGCTGCAGGTTGGGGACTGGGGACTTTTCCCCTTCTCCCTCTGCCCCAGGCGTGCAACCCGTGTGGGAGCTGTGTGGCAGGAAGCCCAGCTTATTTGCAACCTCCACGATTTGGTTGGGACCCTCTTCACGCCGGTGCAGAAAGGCAGGTTGTCCCTTAGACAAGTAATGACACCCCAGTTTTTATCCCTGAGCAGTTTGTTCTGGGGAAAAGGGGTGAAAAATCCCCTCTGGAAATCATCAGGTGCCTTCTTGACGTCTGACTGCTCCTTGCACCCCCTTATTGGCAGCTCCTGGCTACTCCTGAACGTGCTCCAAGCTGAGTGGCCAAGGAAGCGGGGAAGAAGGGCAGGCTTGTGACATGGCTGTGCCATCCTTCCCCAGGCTGAATTTAGGTCTGCTGAGTCAAGAAAAGCCCCTTTCCCCCAAGAGCAAGGCCAACATCTCAATAGCACCACGGCTTATCCCACCCAGGAACGGCAACACGTTCTTCTCCTTGAGGCATCACTGTTAATGTCTCTTTTTTTCTCCCCTCCCTGCAGGACAACGAAGAGGACATTTCCCCAGAGCTTGGGAGCTCCCCTCCCTGCAGGACAACGAAGAGGACATCTCCCCACAGCGAGATGACAGCCATCCTGGAGCGGATCAGCACGTTGTCCCTCAGTGGGCAGCATCTCAGCCGCCTCCCCAGGCTGCTGGAGGATGGTTTCCCCAAAATGCCTTGTACGGTCAAAGAGTGCGAGGTACCACAGCTCTTCCGTGAGCCCTACATCCACACCGGCTACCGTCCCACCGGCCAGGACTGGAGGTACTACTTCTTCAGCCTCTTCCAGAAGCACAATGAGGTGGTCAACGTGTGGACTCACCTCCTGGCAGCGCTGGCCGTGCTGCTGAGATTCAAGACGTTTGTGGAGGCTGAGGAGCTACCCGTGGACGCGTGGTCCTTGCCTTTGCTCATCTTTGTCCTCTCCTCCGTCACCTACTTGACCTGCAGCCTCTTGGCTCACCTGCTCCAGTCCAAATCGGAGCTGTACCACTACACCTTCTACTTCGTGGACTACGTTGGAGTCGGCATCTACCAGTATGGCAGTGCCCTGGCTCATTTCTACTACAGCTCCGACCAAGCCTGGTATGACAAGTTCTGGCTTTTCTTCCTGCCGGCAGCTGCTTTCTGTGGCTGGTTGTCTTGTGCCGGCTGCTGCTACGCGAAATATCGGTACAGACGGCCTTACCCCATCATGAGGAAGATGTGCCAGGTGATCCCAGCCGGGCTGGCCTTCATCTTGGATATCAGTCCTGTGGCTCACCGGGTGGTTGTGTGCCACCTGGGGGGCTGTGAGGAAGATGCTGCTTGGTACCACACGTACCAGATACTGTTTTTCCTCATTAGCGCTTATTTTTTCTCCTGCCCGGTCCCTGAGAAGTACTTCCCTGGCTCCTGCGATATTGTTGGCCATGCCCATCAGATCTTCCACGCCTTCCTGGCCATCTGCACCCTGTCACAGCTGGAGGCCATTCTTTTGGATTACAAGAACAGGCAGGAGATTTTCCTGAAGAGACACGGGCCTTTCTCCGTTTATCTCGCCTGCATCTCCTTTTTTGGCCTGGTGGCTTGTAGTGCCATCACAGCTTACATCCTGCGATGCAGGATCAAGGCCAGCCTGGCTAAAAAGGACTCCTGAGGAGTCACCAACGTGACAGGTGTGACATCACCAGGGTGGTGAAAATCAAGAAGAGGGGCATAACATATTAGAGACTGTCTTACTTGCCTAACACGCTGTGACTAACCAGGACCCTGGGCTCGGGTGGAGGGCTGGAGACTTCATGCTGGATGCATTTTCACAGCAGGGAGTGCCTTTCGCCATCCAGGGGGGACATGGGGAGTTTGAAGCCAGAACAATTCATTTAACCAAGGATGCTGGAATAGGCAGAGGTTTCTTGTTCGTTCTGGTAAACCTGTGGGTGATAATCTTGCTGAATGTCAGTCAGGGAGGGCAACCTGAAGGCTGTGGGGCTGTAGAAGGGTCTGCCAGGGCTAACAGCACAGTGGAGAACGCACTGTGAGGACCACAGCTGGATGTGATGAGACCTCTCTGGGTTTTGCCATTTCTGGGAAACCTGTTGCTATCAAAGGCAGTAGCAAGGTTTCAGGAGGAGTCTGCATTTCTGGAGTTCAGCTGCAAGGGCATGTGTGACACAGTGGCTGGTATAATCCTTCTCTTGGTCCACCTGGGCTAAGCCTGGTTCTCTCTACTGTCCCCTTGTCAAGTATCTCAACACCAGGTTGCTGAGGTGGCTTTGGCAAAGCATGGTTGAAGACTTAGGCCTGACCTGGGGTCCTCTAGGAGGAAATGGGTCTGAACCTGAGCCCTGTGTCTGCTGGTGACTGGTGTGGGTCCAGCACAGAGATGTTAGGTCAGTTCCATCTTCTCTTTCTGTATGACTGCACCATCTACAGTGGAGCTCCTCAAAACCAAGGAGTCACGCCGTCCCAAGGATTACTAACAGGAGATGGGGTCTTTCTCAGCATGAATTTGATCTAAGGTAATGTTAGTCCTGATGGCTGTTTGATAGCCTACAAGACAGGTCTTCAAAGGTTCCTAATTTTCCTTTTAAGCAAGACAGGTCTTCAAAGGTTCCTAATTTTCATTTTAAGTGCTTAGTTGCCTTTGAGGAGCTGGGTCTGAGTCAGGTTGGAGATGGTTTTGAGCCCTCCTCAGTAGCAGTGGCAGAGGCTGAGCACCCCTGAGGCCATCCTGGCCCTGAGAGGAGACATGCTTTTGATGCTGGGTGCATCATTTTGGCTGTCTGTGTGATGGGTTCATGCATTCCTTCATGGATTGACTCTATCATCTGTCTAAGGAGTCTGACTGCCCTCCAACGCTGTCCATGCAGTGTAGAGCAACTTGGGTGTGACCTGTCTGATACAGGAAAGGTTCGGGGCCGTGGGCCTCCAACAGCCCTATTGTGGTCATGGCCAAAAGGGTACGAAAGTGAAAGGGTGTGAAAGGGTATGAAAGTGTGAAAGTCTTTATTCCCCTCTCAGTGGTGCTTTTCGGGACACCAAGAAGTCCTTGGTGGGCCTTGTGGGAAAGCTGACCTTGAAGCTGCAGGGTTACTTTTCTCTGACCAATGGGGTTGTGAATCTGGCATGTTTTTATCAGCATTAGAAGAAGGTAGAATGGCTAAAGGCAGGAGCAGGGTGATGGTATTAGGGTCCTATGCAACCTGGGGACGGGTTTGTCCTTGAGACTTGGTGATTCCTGTGTGAAGTAGCAAAAATATTGGTCAGGGACACTTAATGTCCATGGGTCAGTCCTGCCCAAGGTATAGAAAGGGTTGGTTTACTGCGGCCCCCGCTAGATGAGTCTCTTCTGTGCTTGTTTGTGGGGGAACATCAGATGCTGAGCCACACTGTTGCACTGAAGTTGGCAGCACTTGCAGGTCAGGATGCTCAGAGCCAATGCAGAGATATGGTCCGTGCAGCCCAGACACCTTCTGCTTCACCCACTGCTTGCTTTCCACGGTAAATCCTGGCATGGCTCCTTCCAGCTATAAAGACCCGCAACCTCAAAGGCCTTGACATCTGGCAAATTCCTGAGAGGTATAAATTTTTGTGGAAAGCAGGGAAGCCATGGGATCTATTCCAGCCACAGATTTGTCTCGCTGAATCCAAGGGCAGGCAGGTGAATTGTGGTCGCTGGTCTGAGCAGGCAGAGTTTAGAGTTGGGGATATGATTCGTCACGATAAGCACTGATTTCTGCACTTGATCTGTTTGTTTTTTTTACTGAGCAGGCAGAGTTTAGAGTTGGGGATATGATTTGTCACGACAAGCACTGATTTCTGCACTTGATCTGTTTTTTTTTTTTAAACTTTTGAGGTGTGTGTTTGTGTATCTGTGTGCGTGCACATGGTTTATTATCCAGAAAGGCTTTCCCTTTGGCTTTTCCATCTGTGGAGACTTCTAGTTGGGTCAAAATTAGCCTGAAGGAGACCGTAATGTGGTGCTGGAGGAGCAAGGTTGGCCAGACAGTGGCATCTCTGCAAACAGATCTGTTAATAGGTGGTTTGCTGTGTCAAATTTGAAACTCATGACCCTATTGATAAATATTAAAGATAAGGGGGAGGGAAGTAAGTTTTTAGTACAGGAGAAGAAACCATAGGAACACCTTCAGGAGGTCATCTAGTCCATCCTTTCACATCACTCTAGGCCTCCTGGTTTACATCCAGTCCAGCTCAGTAATTAATTACTTCATTTCCTGCAGTGTATTTTGATGGTACAGCCATGCTGACCTAGCAGCAAATTTGCTTCGGGGGAGTGGCAAGTGGGGATAGTCCCACTTCCAGCTCCTCATTCCCCTTGCCTTGCACAGAAGGTCATCTCACCACAGAGCGAGCCAGTGCCGGGCACTGGACCAGCAGAAAACCAATCCTACTGAAAAAAAAATGTCAGTAATTTTCTGCTGGTTTTAGCTTTCAGCCAGCTTGGACAACGCTGCTGCCTGCAGGGAAGGGCTGGAGCAGAGGCCAGCACTGCTGCCAATAGCAAACCCTGCTCTGCTGCTCCCTAGAGTTCCACTGGTACCAAAGGAAGAGATCACCCAGCTGTTTCCTTCTCCAAGGGTTTGAAAATAGATTACATGTCCTGCCCTTGTCAAAGGAGGATGAGTACAGTAATGCCATCTAGTACAGGGAAAGGGAGAGGACGTGCCCACATGGTTCTTCTGAGGTATTTCTGGTCATGGGTCTTCTCCTCCCTGGTCTGGCAGAAGTGAAACTTCTCCTTCTGGAGCAGTTGTGTGATAGTGGTGGTCAGTTTTTACATATTCTCACATTGCACCTCAGGTGATGCCACTCACATCCCCGCGTGGCCCTGCACTCAGACCTGGAGCTGACCTCCTGGTTACTATGATGGGTTGGTTTAACAGGGAATTTCAATGCAGATCACTGCTGCTGTGAGGATGCACCCTTGTGTCACAAGGGGCTCACCAACACTGGAGCTTTCTTCATCCCTCTCTCCATCCTCCTCCTCCTCTTCCTCCAACCAGCTTATTTCTTTCCCTCATTCCCAGACTTTATCCATTGTGCCTTATGCACCTGGCTGCCAACCTGGGTGCTGTGCACCTCAACCAGTCCAAGACTGGAAAGATGCCCTCCTGAAAGCCCCGCCGTTGATCTAGAGGAGACCAGGGCTGTGTCCCAAGAGAGTCAAAGTGCCTCTGTGATAAATGCTCAGCTTGTCTGAGAGCTTCTCAGGGCCTTCTCCTTGGACTCACTGCTTGGAACATACCTCCTTCCATCCTGGTATTCCTCTAAGGAGGCATGGCTTGGTAGGGGTGTACCTGTGGCAGGGTTGGTGAAGAGCTGACCACCAAAGGTCGAACACATCTGAGATCCTGAGGGGACAGAGGTCCTAACCCTCTCCCTCAAGAATCTCTGGTCCCGAAATAGGATTTTTGCAGATCTTGCAACTTGGATCTGAGCAGGACAGCTCCTGAAAATTCATCCCGATGTGCCTTATGCTATTCCTTTTTTGGGATTCATGCTGAAGGAGCCTGAGGCTCAGAGGCAGCCTCTTTGCCATCTGCTGGTCGATGGTTGCTCTGAACAGCTGATCCCCACCCACAGGATTTGCTTGGTGTCGGGAGCAGAAGGGGAGAATGGAGAGAGGTGCCTTAAAACTTGTATTTATGCCTAATGATTTGTGTAACAAGGCAAGGAAGGGTTCATCATGTGCCTTGCAATTTACATCTTTTACTGACAAGATGATTTTGAAGCACTGTTTGTTACTAAAGAGAAGTACAAAAGAGTTTGTATTTTTTTTTCCCCTGGGAAACAGGGAAGGGTATGAGTGTTACTTATTAACCCTCCCCTTCCCAACTCCCATCTGCTGACTTTGTATTGTTGAAAACATTGACAAAATTTTAAGCTTTGTACTGTACTGATCATTATTTAAAAAAAATAGTGAAAAAAAAAGAAAAAAAAAGAAAACTGTAAAACGATTGGTGTGGTGTGAAATTCCCAAATGCACAACTACAGAAGGTTATGAGTCATTAGGAAGAAAAGCAGATAATAATTATAGAGTGGATAATAATTATAACAATAACGAACACTAGGGTGTGGGTTTATCTGTGCATTTCAAAGAACTTTCCAGGTTTCACAGTAACAGTGATTTTCGTTCCCTTTTCACAAGGGGGGTGCAGAATGGCTGCTCTGACACTGACACATCATCCACAAATCTATTTTGGTGTCCTGTTTTCCTTAATTTCTGTCACAGGTGAGTATGTAGTGATTTGATGGCCTGGCCCAAAGCATTGCAGTTTCAGTAGCCAAGTTGTGAATAGATGTGTCCATTCAAGGACCCTTGTTGGTCAGTATGGTGTCCAGCAAAGCACCTCTCCTTGTTAGCTCCTCTCTCACTTGGAGGAGGAAGTTATCACTGCACTCCAGGAACCTCCTGGCTTGCTTATGCCCTGCTACATTGTCCTTCCAGCAGATACTGGGGTGGTTGAAGTCCCCCATGAAGACCAGAACCTGTAAACGTAAGACTGCTCCTATGTGCCTGGAGAAAACCTCATCCACTTGTTCTTCCTGGTTGGACAGCCTGTAGCAGACACCCACTACAGTGTCACCCATATTGGTGACTTTTGTCACATCATTCCAGGCCCTCTGCTCATCAGCCTTGTCCATCACTCTGACAGGGCTGCTGGTAACTCTCTTCCTCTCCAGTCAACTAGTTTCAAGCCTTCTTTACCAGGAAGATGATCTGTGATCACACACATACCCTGTCCCCCAGGATATACATTCGGTGTGAATTTCAGTCCTCTAAAACCCTGCTCTTTTTCCTTCTATTATCACCACACTAATAACTTTAATTAATATTTCTTAATATGCAGACCAAGGCTTCCATACCGTTATGTTTTTACCCACCAGAGGGCGAGATGTCCTCATCTGTGGCCACAGAGAGGCCTCCAGTGCCACGAAAGCAGAGAAAAAAATGCTCCCTTTCAAGGAGGCAATCGGCCAACTCTGCAAAGAGCTGCATTTCTGAGCGAGGGATGTGCTTTGCTGACGTCTCGCCCTTCGTGCAAGCGACAGGGATTTCACCAAAGGAGTTAGGCCAAAGTTTTAAGTTTCCGTGAAGTAAAAGCTACAGAGGAATGGGAGAAAATAACCAAATATAGAAAACCAGGGCTGTTAACTTTTTAAACTAGAAACAAAAATAGAGACGTGTGGTATGCTGAGAAGAAACCACTTGGTGATAGTCTTTTAGGGAACATATTTACTACAAGCCCGTTGTTATCTAATATACTCACACAGCCTTGATGCACGAAAAGCCAGAGAAGGTCCTTAGCGAAACAGGGAACTGGCCTGTCCAAAGCATGTGAAGCCAAATGCAAGAAGTAAAAGAGCTTCAAAGTCAGAGAAACAAGGTATTTCGTTTTGGTCATTTTGTGTGTCACCAGCCACAGAGGAGAGACTGCGAGAGAAGGTAATGATTTTTACTTCAAGCACCAGATATTGCCTTAGCGAGTTGCCTCAGAAGAGGTTCTTTTTAGCCAACGGCAACCTTTATCTGGTCTTATCCTTGCTGCTCGCTGATAACGTGGGCTGAGGCAGAGCGTTACCAAACAGCTCTAAGTGAGATGGTTCCTTCTTTGTTCTGTTAACCAGCTCTTGAAGATGGTCTCAAGGACTGGGTCAGGGAAAGAGTACTTCCCAGTGTTTCCTGCTGCTCCTGTTGACTTCAGAGAGAGGAGCCTTAGCAGCCCTGGAGAAAAAGAACTGAACATGCCCAAAGTTTAAGGCATGAAGCTGCCTGCTGTGTCTTAAGTTCTGCAGCTGTTCACGGTGATGGCTTATCCGTTATCCTGTAGTTCTTTGCTTTGTTCTGGCTGAAGGTAAGACCTACTCTCAGTCCAAAACCAGTTCCTCTTGCTGGGAAGTGAAGACTGCTAAACTCATTCCTTAGCATTATCCCTTCTAACACACCTGTACTGAGTATTTGGCCCTTGGGTGCCAAGAGATGGAGTGGAAGAAAGGAAAAAATCCATCCTTCATCAGGGTGTCTCGTTGGACAAATGCTGGCTACGATGACAAAGCAGTGCAGAAAGTGGTGTGGAGAGAGTCCCTGAATGTTTCCTGCACATGTGGATACTTGGGTAGCAAATTTGAGCCTACTGCCAACAAGCCTGGGCTTCTAAGTGTTTTTTAAGAGACCTCCCAGACCACAGACGGGGCCTACAGAAGCATCTACTCTTCTTGCACGAGGAGACACAGGCCGGACTTTTTATTGCTGTGTATTACAGTAGCTTCTATACACATAATAGCACAGTCCTTCCTCTAAAATACATAAGCCTTAAACAGATAAGAGATTGGCAATCTTGATAAACAGACTTCCTTTTCCCCTTCACGAATAGAGAGTAGGGATGCAGGAGGTTAAAGAGGCTTGTCTTAACCTCAGCAAGTCGGACTTGTCTGTACAGAAGTTGATGTCAAAAATGATGCTGAATCCATTCCTCTAAAATACATAAGCCTTAAACAGATAAGAGATTGGCAATCTTGATAAACAGACTTCCTTTTCCCCTTCACGAATAGAGAGTAGGGATGCAGGAGGTTAAAGAGGTTTGTCTTAACCTCAGCAAGTCGGACTTGTCTGTACAGAAGTTGATGTCAAAGATGATGCTGAATCCAGATGTTCTGAGTTCCACTTCAGTCCTTATTCCCCGTTCTTCCTCTCTCCTGCTTTGTGGTCACTATTCCTAAGAAAGTACCAGCTTCTGCTATGGCTCTCCTTCATCTTTCTTTCTTCATTCCCATCTCCCTTAAAAGACCCAGGATGAATGCACTGGGGTCACAGTCTTATGATCCTGTCCCTGCTCGTATCCAGAGCCTAAAATCCTACTTTGTGACCCTGGATAAATCCCCTGGCCCTAATTTCCTGCTCATGCAAAGAGGGGGATCGCAGCGCTCCTGCCCCATTGCAAGCTGTGCATGGCCACACACAGCTTTGTTAAAAAGTTGTAGTCACTCTCCTAGAGGATGACCCATGGGCCACAGAGGCAAGTCTCCTTCTCTGAGGAAGGTTCTGGCTGTCACTAAGTTCAAGAAACCTGCTAAAGAGTGCTTGGATGTTAGGAGAAATCAAAGAGAGCGCTTCTGTCCCAGCACCTGCATCTGAGTCAGCAGTCACATTAGCAGCTTGCCGTCTTTCGGATCCGGCTCTTTCAGCCCGGCTTGGCCTTCAATCTGTTATTTTCCTTTCTAAGCTCATCACCAGACTCATTCTTTTATCTCCCACCGCCTGGCTTTCTTCTCTCTCCCACACCGTGCTTAGACAGACGGTCTGGCTGCATTTCTCTCTGCTCGACTTCTGCTTACAAAAACTCTCAGATCCTGCTGCCTGCCCTTGAATCGCAGCCTGGCCTGTCTTGTGTACCTTTGATAAAGAGACCAAGGGAAAGGCATACAAAAAACTTTTTTTTTTTTTTTTTTTCCTTTCTGTGATGATTGGCTTGGCTTTCTTTAATCTCTTAGGTTTGGGAGTGACTTTTGCACAAGCACCTTTTCCTTGATACAACATTCCCCCCCCCAGCTGCTTCTTTTTGCTGCTTTCTTCAGAAAGAGAAAAATTGTGTTTAAAAGAGACGAAGTATGTCAGTGCTACGTATGAGAGAACACACTATTTCACAGCTAATATATATATAGTATATACATAATAAACCAGCAAAATCACTTCTGTTAAAATGCTTTGAGGACTTCAGGTATGGATTTGGAGGGGTTTCCTCTCCCTGGACACACCAGAGGGCAGGCACAACTCTCCAAAAGCGGCCTGGATTGCCACCACCACCCGTTTTGGAAATGTTATTAGCACAGACCCAGCCCAGCTGTGCCGAGGGAGCCAGGCCCCGCCAGAGGCAATGCCGAATTTACGCTGTGGGAAGCTGAACCTCCCTCATTCTGGGCGTGAGGGGGAGGAGGGAGGAAGATGGCGGCGGCCTGTGCCGGAGCAGGCCGAAGAGCGCTCAAATCCCTAAGAAAACAGGATTAATTCTTCCCACTGCTCCCGGGACTGCTTCTTTTCCACACTGTGGGGACAAGGGCATCCTGAAAACCCCCCTTTCCCAGCCCTTCGCCTTAGCAGCCCTGGAGAAAAAGAACTGAACATGCCCAAAGTTTAAGGCATGAAGCTGCCTGCTGTGTCTTAAGTTCTGCAGCTGTTCACGGTGATGGCTTATCCGTTATCCTGTAGTTCTTTGCTTTGTTCTGGCTGAAGGTAAGACCTACTCTCAGTCCAAAACCAGTTCCTCTTGCTGGGAAGTGAAGAGTGCTAAACTCATTCCTTAGCATTATCCCTTCTAACACACCTGTACTGAGTATTTGGCCCTTGGGTGCCAAGAGATGGAGTGGAAGAAAGGAAAAAATCCATCCTTCATCAGGGTGTCTCGTTGGACAAATGCTGGCTACGATGACAAAGCAGTGCAGAAAGTGGTGTGGAGAGAGTCCCTGAATGTTTCCTGCACATGTGGATACTTGGGTAGCAAATTTGAGCCTACTGCCAACAAGCCTGGGCTTCTAAGTGTTTTTTAAGAGACCTCCCAGACCACAGACGGGGCCTACAGAAGCATCTACTCTTCTTGCACGAGGAGACACAGGCCGGACTTTTTATTGCTGTGTATTACAGTAGCTTCTATACACATAATAGCACAGTCCTTCCTCTAAAATACATAAGCCTTAAACAGATAAGAGATTGGCAATCTTGATAAACAGACTTCCTTTTCCCCTTCACGAATAGAGAGTAGGGATGCAGGAGGTTAAAGAGGCTTGTCTTAACCTCAGCAAGTCGGACTTGTCTGTACAGAAGTTGATGTCAAAAATGATGCTGAATCCAGAGTTCCACTTCAGTCCTTATTCCCCGTTCTTCCTCTCTCCTGCTTTGTGGTCACTATTCCTAAGAAAGTACCAGCTTCTGCTATGGCTCTCCTTCATCTTTCTTTCTTCATTCCCATCTCCCTTAAAAGACCCAGGATGAATGCACTGGGGTCACAGTCTTATGATCCTGTCCCTGCTCGTATCCAGAGCCTAAAATCCTACTTTGTGACCCTGGATAAATCCCCTGGCCCTAATTTCCTGCTCATGCAAAGAGGGGGATCGCAGCGCTCCTGCCCCATTGCAAGCTGTGCATGGCCACACACAGCTTTGTTAAAAAGTTGTAGTCACTCTCCTAGAGGATGACCCATGGGCCACAGAGGCAAGTCTCCTTCTCTGAGGAAGGTTCTGGCTGTCACTAAGTTCAAGAAACCTGCTAAAGAGTGCTTGGATGTTAGGAGAAATCAAAGAGAGCGCTTCTGTCCCAGCACCTGCATCTGAGTCAGCAGTCACATTAGCAGCTTGCCGTCTTTCGGATCCGGCTCTTTCAGCCCGGCTTGGCCTTCAATCTGTTATTTTCCTTTCTAAGCTCATCACCAGACTCATTCTTTTATCTCCCACCGCCTGGCTTTCTTCTCTCTCCCACACCGTGCTTAGACAGACGGTCTGGCTGCATTTCTCTCTGCTCGACTTCTGCTTACAAAAACTCTCAGATCCTGCTGCCTGCCCTTGAATCGCAGCCTGGCCTGTCTTGTGTACCCTTGATAAAGAGACCAAGGGAAAGGCATACAAAAAACTTTTTTTTTTTTTTTTTTTCCTTTCTGTGATGATTGGCTTGGCTTTCTTTAATCTCTTAGGTTTGGGAGTGACTTTTGCACAAGCACCTTTTCCTTGATACAACATTCCCCCCCCCAGCTGCTTCTTTTTGCTGCTTTCTTCAGAAAGAGAAAAATTGTGTTTAAAAGAGACGAAGTATGTCAGTGCTACGTATGAGAGAACACACTATTTCACAGCTAATATATATATAGTATATACATAATAAACCAGCAAAATCACTTCTGTTAAAATGTTTTGAGGACTTCAGGTATGGATTTGGAGGGGTTTCCTCTCCCTGGACACACCAGAGGGCAGGCAAAACTCTCCAAAAGCGGCCTGGATTGCCACCACCCGTTTTGGAAATGTTAATAGCACAGACCCAGCCCAGCTGTGCCAAGGGAGCCAGGCCCTGCCAGAGGCAATGCCGAGTTTACTCTGTGGGAAGCTGAACCTCCCTCATTCTAGGCGTGAGGGGGGAGGAGGGAGGAAGATGGCGGCGGCCTGTGCCGGAGCAGGCCGAAGAGCGCTCAAATCCCTAAGAAAACAGGATTAATCCTTCCCACTGCTCCCGGGGCTGCTTCTTTTCCACACTGCGGGGACAAAGAGCGCTCAAATCCCTAAGAAAACAGGATTAATTCTTCCCACTGCTCCCGGGACTGCTTCTTTTCCACACTGTGGGGACAAGGGCATCCTGAAAACCCCCCTTTCCCAGCCCTTCGGGAGTGACCTGGCCGCCCCGGCCCCCTCCCGCCGCTCGGACGGGCCCCACCAAGCGCGTTCCCGCCCTCCCGTTGCCATGGCAACCCCTCCCTGCGCTCACCGCGCATGCGCGGGAGGGGGGGGCTCCGCCCGGCCCAACGCACACGCGCAACCGCCCCGCCGCGCCTGCGCACGGCCCGCGCCGGCCGTTGCCGTGGAGACGGCGTCGCCGGGGCCCGGGGCGGGAGCGCCGCCGCCGCCGCCGCCACCATGAGCTCAGAACCGTGGCCGGGCCTGCCCTTCCTCCCAGGCTACGCCTTCAGGGACCCCATGGTGAGCGCAGCCGTCCTCCCGGGGACTCTCTGCCCCTATTTCCCCGGCCTGGCCCGGCCTGGCCTAGCACAAACCCCTCCGAGAGCCCCCCCTGAGAATCCCCCTTCTACATCCCCCCACCTGCTTCAGGGTCCCATCGGTGACCGACACCCTGTCCAACTCCCCCCTTGAACACACCTCCAGGGAACCCGGTACTCCTTCATCCCCTCCTCTAACTCCTCAGGAGACCTGATATCACTTAATATCCCCCCAGGGGACATGTTACCCCCTAAACCCACCCCGAGGGAACTCAGTACTCCTTCATCCCCTCCTCTAACTCCTCAGGAGACCTGATATCATTTAATATTCCCCCAGGGGACATGTTACCCCCTAAACCCACCCCGAGGGAACCATCTGTTCCCTCACACCGCCGTCTAATTCGCCCAAGAGGTCTGGCACCTCCCAAATTCACTTAATTTCTCTGAGAATCCCCCTTCTACACCCCCCACCTGCTTCAGGGTCCCGTCGGTGACCGACACCCTGTCCAGCTCCCCCCATGAACACACCTCCAGGGAACCTGGTACTCCTTCATCCCCTCTTCTAACTCCTCAGGAGAGCTGATATCACTTAATATTCCCCCAGGGGACATGTTACCCCCTAAACCCACCTTGAGGGAACTATCTGTTCCCTCACACCACCGTCTAATTCGCCCAAGAGGTCTGGCACCTCCCAAATTCACTTAATTTCTCTGAGGGGACTTGGTGTCTTGTGAACCCATATCCTGGGAACCTTCAAATCCTTTAAACTCACACCCTTCAGGGGACCTGGTGCCCTGTGAAGTGACTCCCAAGGAACCTAGTGCCCTGTAAACTCACTTGATGCTCCCCAGCAGACCTAATACCCACTGAACTCTCTCCCAGAGAACTTGAAGTTTCCCAAAGCCAACAAATATCTGCTGAACTCACTTCTGGGTGACCTGAACTCTCCAAACACACCTGATGTCTCCTGACCCCACACACAACAGACCTGATACTCCCTAAGTTCTCCCAGTGTCATTAAAAATCTGCTCCCAGGGGTTCAGGTATCCCTGAGCCCACCCTCCAGGGTACTTGGTACTCTTAATCTTGTCCCCAAGGAACCCATTGCATCTTGCACCCATCTGATAACCCCTGAAAACTGGTAAACTGAGAACTGATAAACCTCCATAGAACTAATACTACCACCACCTCCAGGATCCTGCCAAGGAAATGAGAACCCCTCAGCTTCTCCCAGGTTCCTTGGAAGAAGTAGTGTTACCCTCATCCTCATCCTCCGCACCTGAATTGGCACCTAAATGAGGAAGCAAGCTTTCCTTTTCCCCATTCCCAGTGGCCCACTCACTGAGGATCTGATAACACCGGATCCTTCCAACACCATCTTGAGGAAGCAGTACCACAGATGAGAACTGATACTCCCCGAGTTCCTTCCAGAACTGTTTCAGAGCAGCTGATAGCTCTGCTCTTCCTTCTCCCCAGGGAACTAATATCTTGAGTCTTGAAATCATTGCTCAACTTCAACACAGTGCTACTAATGTCAGTGTGAGAAACCAACACACTGACTGCTCCCCTCAGAAGTGGTGCTCCCAGAATTTTGTAGGGAACAGGCCTGATCTATACCAGGCCATGCCTTACATTTCCCTGGAGTTTAGTATCCTTAAGAACAGGTTCCTCCCTTTCCATAAGGCTCAGTGTTCCAAGTGAGGCCCCCTCTTCCCTCTCCTCCTTCCCAATACCTCCAAGTTGCCTGGTCATTGGGAAAACAGGTCCCCAGTATGCTTTGGTGTTGCAGGATAAGGAACCTCATGTACTTGTACGTTAATATTTGACATGGGACATGCCCTCCTGCAAAAAAAAACAAACAAAAAACCCATATATTGGGACAGTACTTATCCTTGATATTCCCATTGAAAACTGACACCTCCAGAACAAGTACTTCCATGTCTTCCTGATATGTCCTCTAGATTGTGCTCTAGAGAAGAGAATCCAGTTTACCCTTTGGCAAATCTTCTCAAGGGATGGTGAGCCCCACGGCAGGTCATCCCACTCTACTCTTCCCGGATCACGTAACTTCCTGGGACACGGGCTTCATGCTTATTTGATGTTTCAGTGGAAATGCTTATTCTCCCAAAAGAGGAAAGCTCCCCTTCTATCTTCTGCCACCACAATGCTCTTGATATTTCTAGGGGACACTACAATATTTCTGTATCTCTTGATTGCTCCTAAGATGGAGTGGGGAGGAACCTCTAAAAGATCTTAACACCACTGAAGAGATTAGTGCTCCCTTCAGGTGATATTCTCCTCTGTTTCTGAGATCAGTGGTGGTATTGTCACTAATTCCTGTTTGATAGTTGTGCTCTTGACATGATGTGCTCTTGACAAGGGCTGTGTCATGAAGGGCTTTAGAAAACCCAGTCCAGATCACTCTGGATGCTTTTGTGAGAACCCAGTTTTCTCTGTTTTCCTAAATAGGACCCTCTATTTTCTTTATTCTGCTTGTGTGTGGATTAGGATTACCCAAGGATAAATTGTCTCTGTACTGGTCTTACTGGTGCCTTCCAGCATGAGCGGTCAAACTATTTTCTATGTCAGTGCCAGCTGAGTTCTTCAACAGGAAGTGGAGCCATTCACTCATAACGAATACTCTTAATCATGCAGTAATAAAGGTTATCTCAAAATTATTCTCATCTTAATAATATTATTTGCTCGATATCATTTGTAACATCTCAGAAATCTGCAATGCAAATTTCTCCCCCAAGCAAAATATTATTTCCTCTATCAGTAAAATCCTGCCTGCTGTAGTCATGTGAATGCTTCTACTGACTTCAGCAGTGCTGTGTGTATGTAAGAAACACCCATGGGACTTAGCAGAGCAGAGCATTATTTCAGAATAATTTGAAGTGTTAGTAATATTTTAAGGAGATCTGGACGCCAGAAATGGCTTTGCAGTGTTCCTCAAGATGAGTCCTAGTGAGTAGCCCAACTCACTTTGCCTCAATTTTCCAGTCTGTAAAATGGGCATAGCGATACTTGTTTTCCAAGTGAATGCTGAGAAGTGCTGAAGAAAACTCCTGTGTCCAAATAAAATGGTGTTGTTATTGCTTAGTGTTTGTGTGACAGAGGAACAAAGACACTGGGAGGGGGAAAGTCCTTTGTAGGAAATGTTATAGACTTGTTTAAAAGAAGGATTTAATTCAGTGGGATTTCTTCAGATATGGACTGGCAGCAACTGAGATCAGGAGTTTACATTCTGGGGGTTTTCCCTTTTAAATTTGTGTTACTCACCTGATACTGTGAGATGTTATCTGGCATCCATGCTCACTTGGGAGAGCCTATTGACTTTGAGAGTCTTATGAGTTTATGAGGTGCTTTCTTTAGGCCGCTGTGGGCCATAAAAGCCCATGCACTTCTGACAACACTGATATTGCCCAATTTAAAGCCAAACTTCCTGGTTTTCCTTGATTTTTTTTTTCCCCACAGCTTTCCCTTGGTATTTATTTAACAGAAGGAAATAGTAGTTCTGTGGCAGGACTGATGTTTGTAAGACATTCTGTTAACATCTCTTCAGTAAACTCTCTTGTTTTCACCTGAACCTTTTTTCCTCACTGCTCTGTCCACAGCACTGCAAGATCCGTAGTACCAGTTTAATTAGTACCAGGCAATTATGTGAAATTCAAGTGGGGCCTTGAAGGTATAAATAAGATTAGAGGCTTAACCATGAAGGGTGAGAGCAGAGGGGGAGAAGTGGTTCATACGCCTGAGGTTGGACTGATTGCAAGTCTGGGTCTGTAAAAGGAGCTGAAGCTTGTTCCTTCAGCACCAGAAATGCGTACAATTCTGTTTTACTTGGCAAAAGGCAAGGTAAAATCAGGGATTTTATTAGTAGGGACTCACAATTTCTCCTGCTTTCTCTGGAGCGTTAAGTGTTGAAAGCCCAGTGGGATGTGTTATTTTAAATACTTTCAGGGTTGCAGGTGAGGGACCAGGCACAGTGGACTCTCCAAGTTGAGTAGCTTGGTGTCACTCAAGTCTGGTCCTAATCTTGATTATGAGCCGCTGTGGGCCATAAAAGCCCATGCACTTCTGACAACACTGATATTGCCCAATTTAAAGCCAAACTTCCTGGTTTTCCTTGATTTTTTTTTTCCCCACAGCTTTCCCTTGGTATTTATTTAACAGAAGGAAATAGTAGTTCTGTGGCAGGACTGATGTTTGTAAGACATTCTGTTAACATCTCTTCAGTAAACTCTCTTGTTTTCACCTGAACCTTTTTTCCTCACTGCTCTGTCCACAGCACTGCAAGATCCGTAGTACCAGTTTAATTAGTACCAGGCAATTATGTGAAATTCAAGTGGGGCCTTGAAGGTATAAATAAGATTAGAGGCTTAACCATGAAGGGTGAGAGCAGAGGGGGAGAAGTGGTTCATACGCCTGAGGTTGGACTGATTGCAAGTCTGGGTCTGTAAAAGGAGCTGAAGCTTGTTCCTTCAGCACTAGAAATGCGTACAACTCTGTTTTACTTGGCAAAAGGCAAGGTAAAGTCAGGGATTTTATTAGTAGGGACTCAAGATTTCTCCTGCTTTCTCTGGAGCGTTAAGTGTTGAAAGCCCAGTGGGATGTGTATTTTAAATACTTTCAGGGTTGCAGGTGAGGGACCAGGCACAGTGGATTCTACAAGTCGAGTAGCTTGGCGTCACTCAAGTCTGATCCTAATCTTGATTATGTTTCTGTGATTACTTCAGTAGTGAAGAACAGGACTGGGCTGACAGAGATTGGGTCCTATTCGCTGACATTTTCTTGTGGTGTGTCCTTAAGCAAAGCAGGGACCTTCTTGTGCCTGGATGATTATTTAGCTTGAAGAATGGCTCAGTAGCTGGTGTCAGGTAGATAGCAAAGATAGATGAAAGGCTCCGAGAAGCTCCAAACCAAGGTTAAACCAACAAAAGGAAAAAAAAAACAGGTGTGCTTACACAGATAGAATTATTCTTGTCTTATAAGGCTTCTCATTAATGTGCTATAGGGTCTTACACTGTGGTTAGGATATGATGTTTGTAAGACATTCTGTTAACATCTCTTCAGTAAACTCTCTTGTTTTCACCTGAACCTTTTTTCCTCACTGCTCTGTCCACAGCACTGCAAGATCCGTAGTACCAGTTTAATTAGTACCAGGCAATTATGTGAAATTCAAGTGGGGCCTTGAAGGTATAAATAAGATTAGAGGCTTAACCATGAAGGGTGAGAGCAGAGGGGGAGAAGTGGTTCATACGCCTGAGGTTGGACTGATTGCAAGTCTGGGTCTGTAAAAGGAGCTGAAGCTTGTTCCTTCAGCACTAGAAATGCGTACAACTCTGTTTTACTTGGCAAAAGGCAAGGTAAAGTCAGGGATTTTATTAGTAGGGACTCAAGATTTCTCCTGCTTTCTCTGGAGCGTTAAGTGTTGAAAGCCCAGTGGGATGTGTATTTTAAATACTTTCAGGGTTGCAGGTGAGGGACCAGGCACAGTGGATTCTACAAGTCGAGTAGCTTGGCGTCACTCAAGTCTGATCCTAATCTTGATTATGTTTCTGTGATTACTTCAGTAGTGAAGAACAGGACTGGGCTGACAGAGATTGGGTCCTATTCGCTGACATTTTCTTGTGGTGTGTCCTTAAGCAAAGCAGGCACCTTCTTGTACCATCTGGATAATTATTTAGCAGACATTTTCTTGTGGTGTGTCCTTAAGCAAAGCAGGGACCTTCTTGTGCCTGGATGATTATTTAGCTTGAAGAATGGCTCAGTAGCTGGTGTCAGGTAGATAGCAAAGATAGATGAAAGGCTCCGAGAAGCTCCAAACCAAGGTTAAACCAACAAAAGGAAAAAAAAAACAGGTGTGCTTACACAGATAGAATTATTCTTGTCTTATAAGGCTTCTCATTAATGTGCTATAGGGTCTTACACTGTGGTTAGGATAGAATGGAATGGAATAATTTCAGCTGCCTGTGTGACCCTTGCAAAAACTGGAGAGAGGTGGTGAAATGGTGACTGTGCTTTGGTACATTTCATAATCTCCCTTCTGTGAGCACGACACACCTTGGTTTAGCCCAGCAAAGCAAAATCCTGTGGCTGTCATCCCCAGGAGAGGGCTAACAAAATAAATAGTGATGGAAAACACGGACGGTGCACAGGGTGTAAGAGTCAAGGGAGCCCCGTGAGGCAACAACAGAGTGAGGTCCCGTGGTGCTCTGTGCTGTCACAACACAGAGTAGGGAACAAAGAGTTTGTGAGAGAAATACTGGGGCAGAGAAAATGCTGTCACCCCATTCTGTGCACTGAGAATGGTGGCAATAGGGAAATGAAGCAATTAAAGCTCTTGGGGAATCTGTGTCGGTTCTGTGTTCACTCTGATGCTTTATTCCTTCAGCTTCTTACTGTTTTTCTTGATCTAAGTCTAAAATCTGATTGTAAATAACTGCTGCAGTAGGTTGTAATAAAATGGGGGGGGGGAATGGGGGGGGGAGGAGAGCGTTCTGCATATTACACTCTTTTACTGTTTTTCTGTGCTTTCAGTGACTGTACCTACTAAGTGCAGTATTTTAACAGCTGGATTTCCTTCCACAGAAAACGTCTTTCCATCGGTCCCAGACGCTGGGCTACAGAAAAGGATATGCCTTTTTTCGGCTGCCGACGGTGGGGATCGGCGGGGAGCGGTTGTACGTGAATCAGCTTTCTCAAGCTGAATTAGATGAATTATCCAACGTGAGACCCACGCTGACCTACGGGCCGGCCAAGGAGGCTCCACCTTCAGGCTTCGTTCCAGCACACGTGGCTTTTGACAAAAAGGTAGAAAGAAGCTTATTCCAGGAATATCGCCGGCCAAGTCCGGAGACATAAACAGTCAGCTCCAGGGTTGACGGGACAGCGTACAGCAGTTTTCAGATGCCAGAGCCCTTAGTCAGAGACAGCTGAACCCCAGACTGAAAGAGGCTTTCTTTGCTCGGGAGGAGGATTATAATACGTAAACGATGTAAGACATTCCCCACAAGTTACGCTAGAGCTTTTCCAGCAGGCGTTTGGAAAAGAAGTTTGATTAACTCTGAAAAGCTTCAGTTTATAACCGTTGCCCTGTAAACCACAGCCTGGCCCTCTGCCTTTCCAAATCTATATTGAGATGGCAACTGAGCTTAAACTGTAAAGGACGGTCTGCAACGGGGACCTTGTTAGACTGTTAAACTGTGGTCTATTTATGCTCGTGTTTGTCATCACAGCGTGTTACAGTCTGCGTTGCTCCCTTAGTGCTCCCTGTGCTGTATCTTGGTGATTGTATGGGACTCGGAGGTGGCTTTGTGTCTGCTCTGAGCAGTTCCTGAGCTCACCCTCGATTTTCTGAGTGCTGGGACAGGGCAGTCACTGTGGAGAGCGTGAGGCTCAGCAGACCCGAGCGTGTGCAGGGCTTGGAAAAGGCAGCCAACCCTCAGCCCATCTGTGAGACAGTCTGGGGAACAGATGTGCTGTGTTAATTACCGAGGCTATTCCTTTGGAGTAACGTAGATGTTGCCGTTTAATCTGTCAGATACTTCTCTGCCCCTTAATTCAAGCCAAAGGAGCAGCAGGAGCCTCAGTACTGCTGGGGGAAGACCCTTTTTAGAGCACTTTTTGAAGCACCTATGCTGGATAGCAGGGACTTGCTGGCTTTATCATCACTTAATTCCTGAGGTCTGTGGGCTGGTGTAGGCTGAGTATGCAAGGCTTGACTAGTCTGCAAGGCTTGATTAGTCTGCAAAGCTGACAATAGTAAAGAAAGCCGTGCATGTCAGAAAACTAGATTATTGGCAGTAACTGAGCCCTTGGCAGCAGGTGATCAAGGAGGAGTAGGGAAAAGGCTGTATTTGTAACACCTGTACCAAATTTGCAAAATGCAGGTTTTGATAAAAGCCCTCGCCATGTCTCTGCCACCAGTCACAGATTAGGCTACATTTGGCTTTGGGTGATTTTATAGATTACAATCCAGTAAATTTGCATTGCCAAAGCCTATTACAAAGAAATAGTAGACTAATTGTGGTGTTCAAACTGTTTCTCTCTTTCTCCCTTTGGTAAATTCCCCATTTGGCAGGTTTTGAAGTTTGATGCCTATTTCCAGGAAGACGTTCCTCTCTCTGCAGAAGAGCATTACCGGATCCGCCAAGTGCATATCTATTACTTCTTGGAAGATGACAGCATGTCCGTCATAGAGCCTGTTGTGCCCAACTCTGGTCTTCCTCAAGGCAAACTTGTCAGACGCCACCGAGTACCCAAGAATAACCATGGGGATCCTTACCACTGGAAAGATCTGAATCGGGGCATGAACATCACCATCTACGGCAGGACGTATCGCATAGTCGACTGTGACCTCTTCACACAGGTGTGTTTTGCTCACACAGAGAGCACTGACATCAAGAATCCAGGGAGTTATGGCTGGACAGACCTGGTAGAGTCCAGTAATCTGCATCTGTAGCTTTCACAATAGGGTTGTCTGCAGTCTTTCACTTTGCTTTTTGTGAAGACTTCCTTGTGCCCAGCAGTGTGCCCAGGTGGCCAAGAAAGCCAACAGCATCCTGGCCTGTATCAGGAACAGCGTGGCGAGTAGGGCCCGAGAGGTGATTGTCCCCCTGTACTGGGCACTGGTGAGGCCTCACCTTGAGTACTGTGTCCAGTTTTGGGCCCCCTACCATAAAAAAGACATTGAGGTGCTGGAGCTGGTCCAGAGAAGGGCGACAAAGATGGTGAGGGGTCTGGAGAATAAGTCTTATGAGGAGAGGCTGAGGGAGCTAGGGGTGTTCAGCCTGGAGAAGAGGAGGCTGAGGGGAGACCTTATTGCTCTCTACAACTACCTGAAAGGAGGGTGTAGGGAGATGGGGGTCGGTCTCTTTTCTCAAGTCACAGGCAACAGGACAAGAGGAAATGGCCTCAAGTTACACCAGGGGAGGTTCAGGCTGGATATTAGGAAACATTTTTTCACGGAAAGGGTTCTCAGCCATTGGAATGGGCTGCCCAGGGAGGTGGTTGAGGCACCATCCCTGGAGGTGTTCAAAAGACAGGTTGATGTAGTGCTGGGAGGTATGGTTTGGTGATGATGATGCTCCTTGTTTGTTGTGTGGGTGTCTATTTTTGTCAGTTAGGTTGATGGTTGGACAAGATGATCTTTAAGGTCCCTTCCAACCTAGAAGATTCTGTGATTCTGTGATTCTTCAGATCAATGTAGGGTTCAAGGTATGATATTTGCTGAGGGCGTATTAATTGCTCAGTATTTTTGCCCCAGGACCACTGGGAGTCCATCCTCAGGACTTCCCCTTACAACACAAATTCTATACACATTTCTGTAGAGTCTGGATGAAACATTGTGCGTACGTGAGCGGAAAATTACTGATCCTAACTCTTTTCTGACTTCATACTCCTCTGTTAAGAATAGGGGAAGGGAATGCAGTCAGTAACTCTGCACCCATCTACAGCCAAGCCAGAAGAGCAGTCATGATCTGTGGGTTGAGAATCGTGGTATGAACTGACCTTTCTAAGAGAGCTTACTCATTGCCTGTGTTGCTATTTCTGGCTATTTCTGTACCAGTAAATGAAATAATAACAATCCAATAACAAATAATAAAAAAATACCAGTAGAGTGGTATCCTGTTAGGTTGTCCCCAGTATAATCTCAGCCTTGGTCAACTATGATTCTTCCAAGCAATTCCCAGGAGCAGTCCAGCAGTTAGAATGCTCCAGGGACCATTGCCAATAGGTGAGTTACGTGCAGCCAACCTGTCCTGGAGGCTGAGAGGGTTTAGATGCACGTGGTTCCTTCCCCGTTGGCCTCAGTGCCCAGGAATCTTCCCAAGCATGTGTAATATATTGATATATATGGGGCTGTTGAGAACACGTGGGGCCAGCTCTGCTGGTCAGTCAGTTGACATTAAATAAAGAGCTGGTTCTCATGTTAATTTTGGCTGTTTGATGGGGAACACGAAATGAGCTAGATGGGTCTGCATCTCAAAGCCATCATTAACTGGCATCCTCCAGATGAGAAAATAGTGAGTCTGGAAGTGTGAGCCTGCCTTGTGAGTCCTCAGGGTGATCTCACACGCCTGTTGGAGATGTTTGCATAGGTGCTTCCTGGGCTGAATGTTTTCATGGGCCATTTCCCAAGGCCCAAAAGGGAAGAAATCCATTGACTGATCGTTTTGAGTGACTGATGTGAGTACACAAGTAATACCCCAGAGTTTGTTGATGCTTCCGAGGCAAGCAAAAAATCTCTTCATCGACAAACATTGTCCTCTTTCTGAAGGAAAAGTACTCCTCCTGAAAGAAGGACTGGAGCTGCCAGTCTGGCACATATCCCCGTGGTCTGAAGGGCTTTGGTGGGCCTGGTATGGGTACTGCTAACATCCATGGGCTGACATATCACAGAATCACAGAATCTTCTAGGTTGGAAGGGACCTTAAAGATCATCTTGTCCAACCGTCAACCCAACTGACAAAAATAGACACCCACACAACAAACAAAAAGCAACACCATCACTAAACCATACCTCCCAGCACTACATCAACCCATCTTTTGAACACCTCCAGGGATGGGGCCTCAACCACCTCCCTGGGCAGCCCATTCCAATGGCTGATAACCCTTTAGGTGAAAAAATTTTTCCTAATATCCAGCCTGAACCTCCCCTGGCGCAACTTGAGGCCATAAATGCTGAGCCCATTGGGGAGCCCTAGGTCTCTTGCAAATTCAGACTGACTATGTCCACAGTTATGCACTAATTTACTCTTTTTCATTGACAAAAAGGAGATCTACTGACAGTTTTCCTTCATTTAAAGCCCTAAGGCCAAGGAAAACTTGAGATCAAGTAAAATCTGACTTAGGATGCTGAGGACAGGACTGCCCTAAGTAATTAAAGGGCGAGCAAAGCTTAAAGAGAAACATCTTGGTCATCTTTTATAGTATTTGCTATTGCAGTAGAAGCGATACTCCTGCAGCCTGGTGGCCTGTGAGTAGTGTTCTGTCAACGCTCATCTCATCTGGAATCTCTAATTACCTTCAGAACTCAAGGCAGCACTAATACCTTAGATGACTTTTCCTAGGTGTTCCTGGAGAGCCAAGGAATTGAACTGAACCCTCCAGAGGAAATGGTTTTTGATCCTTACACCGAACTGCGGCGAAAGCCCACACGCCAGTTCGTCACACCCTCAGATTTCGACCAGCTCAAACAGTTTCTGACCTACGACAAGCAGGTGAGAGGTCTGGTAGGGATTACCCACAGCACAGACTGTAAGTGTTATTGAAACCCAAGTTTTGTGATTCTAAAAAAATCTCAGTCCACTGAACCGACTCCTGTTCTGCTCCTTTCTTGGCTTTTGTAGGAAAGAAAATATTTTATCTTTTTACTGGGCTTTGGGCCTTGTGAGCAGCTTCTCTTTGGATTGCAGATCCTCCCTCTCTCTCTTGCCTTCTGTTGGGGTGAGATAAGCCACCTGCCTCGGGATGTTAGAAGATAGGGCCAGATGCAGTGCTAAAACAAATGGGCATGCAGCATCCACTCCTCTCTTACACCAAAACACTGATGCCAGGTGCCAGAGTGGACAATTTCAGACAAATACAGGTGCTTCTTCCTCTGACTGAGTTCTCCCTCTGCACACAGTTGACTAATGCTCTCCTCCTTGATCCTCTGGACCCTCTTCATTTAGCAACAAATTAAGAAACCCTATAGACTACATCTATACTAGAGAATAAAACAGAGCCAGGACACAACCTGAGTTCTACGTGTTGTCCCTGGCCAGCTATCGATCAAACAGTTCCTGCCTGTCACCTAGGTGTTTGTTAGCACAGGTCAGGGTCATATCCAGTTGTGGCTTTGGATATGGTCCTCCTGTTTTGAGGGGAGGTGACAGTTTTGCTGTGTGGATGCAAGCTGGGCCATGCCTGCCATTTTACTGCCAGTTTAGCCTTAGTGACTCAAATCTGTGCTGGGCCAACTCTGCCTGCTCTTGGGCTCCCTGTTTAGGAGCTGTACCTGGGGGAACCTATAGAATCAGAGAATCATTGGATGGTTTGGGTTGGATGGGACCTTAAAGATCACCCAGTTCCAACCCCGCTGCCAAGACCAGGGACACCTCCCTCTAGACCAGGTTGTTCTTGAGCATTGCAGTGTGAAGAGTTTTATTTCTGTGGCATTTCTAGATGATATTTCTACTCAGCAGAAATAAAATGGGGTCTGCAGTGAATGTAGCCTCCCCAGGACTGCCAAGTGCCTTCCTTTCTGCCTTCTTCAGCATGACAGTAGTAAAGAATTGGCTTTGAAACCTCTGAGAGGTTTAAGAGTCAAAACAAGATTCTGTCTTGCTGTGTTAAGTTTCATTATAAAAATAACTTCCCTACTTATCCCTTGGCAATTATTTTCTGCTACTCTTTAATCAGTAACTCCTTTCCCATTTTTCTTCATGCTTCCTGAACTAAGTTTCTTGCCTTAGCATAAACTGTTCTCTCTCACTCTCTGATTTCAAGGAAAGCCAGGCCTGTCCAGCTCTCCAGACCCCTGCTGCCCTTCCCACTGCTGCCTCAACCACCCGTTCATCCCAGTACCCACAGTAAAAGGGCTTGGTTCTTCTATACCTGGCAGAGAAGATTGCAGAGATGCCTCCAATCACCCGACTCATTTCAACCCACTTCCTTCAGACAAAGCATTAGTAATTCTAATTACTAATGACTGGTGAGGCACTGGTGAGGCCTCACCTTGAGTACTGTGTCCAGTTTTGGGCCCCCTGCCATAAAAAAGACATTGAGGTGCTGGAGCGGGTCCAGAGAAGGGCGACAAAGATGGTGAGGGGTCTGGAGAATAAGTCTTATGAGGAGAGGCTGAGGGAGCTGGGGTTATTCAGCCTGGAGAAGAGGAGGCTGAGGGGAGACCTCATTGCTCTCTACAACTACCTGAAAGGAGGGTGTAGAGAGGTGGGGGTCGGTCTCTTTTCTCAAGTCACAGGCGACAGGACAAGAGGAAATGGCCTCAAGTTGCACCAGGGGAGGTTCAGGCTGGATATTAGGAAAAATTTTTTCACGGAAAGGGTTCTCAGCCATTGGAATGGGCTGCCCAGGGAGGTGGTTGAGGCACCATCCCTGGAGGTGTTCAAAAGACGGGTTGATGAAGTGCTGGGAGGCATGGTTTAGTGATGATGCTCCTTGTTTGTTGTGTGGGTGTCTATTTTTGTCAGTTAGGTTGACGGTTGGACAAGATGATCTTTAAGGTCCCTTCCAACCTAGAAGATTCTGTGATTCTGTGATTCTGTAATTCATGGTTGTTTTCTCTGGCTCCTTTTTCTTCACCCCAGGTCCTTCGCTTCTACGCCATGTGGGATGACACTCACAACATGTTTGGTGAGAATCGACCTTTCATCATCCATTACTATTTGGCAGATGACACAGTGGAGGTTCGGGAAGTCCACAAGCAAAATGATGGTAGAGACCCGTTCCCAATACTAATAGGACGCCGACGCTTGCCCAAAACCTTAGTGGACAAGAAAAGTAAGTTTAGAGTTGCCAGAAAAATCTGTGCTGAAGTGTCTTGGTGGGTAGATACCACTGAATTGCTGAGAACACTCCAAGCGGTGTTGGGTTTTGGCCAAAGAAAAGTTCTTTAAATGATCACTAAATTCTTTATCTTTTGGGAAACAGTGGCAGGACAGCAGTACCAACAGTTTGCTTTTGTTTCCCTTTTCCCCAGGAAAAGTTAACATTGACCTGATGGATTTATTTTTCCTTTTGCTCCCTTGTCCTTAGAGACCTTCCCGAGCTGTGTGCTGGAGATCTCTGACCACGAGGTACTTGAGTGGTTCACAGCTAAAGATTTTGCTGTTGGCAAATCTACCACCCTCCTTGGACGCACCTTCTTCATCTACGATTGCGATGAGTTCACCCGAAACTTCTATCGTGACAAATTTGGCATCACAGACTTCCAGCCAGTGGAAGTAAACAAGAAACCACTTGAGGAAGTTCCACAGGTACTGCAAACAATTCCTCAAAGGATGGGATGGAAGGAAGCAATCATAAGTTCTTACAGTATAGTTCAGCCTAGTAAGAAACTATAATAAACACGTTCAGCCTATAGAAAAGAGTAGATAACTTAAAAAAGACAAGGCAATAATAGTCATAATGAATATTATGAATATACAGTAGGTTCAGCCTAGTAAGAAACTATAATAAACACGTTCAGCCTATAGAAAAGAGTAGATAACTTAAAAAAGACAAGGCAATAATAGTCATAATGAATATTAAAGTGAAAGTCCTCTGAAACTGTTGATTTCTAATGTTGTAAAGGACAAATCACTTGCTAATGGTGATAGAACTTCGGTTATGTCTACACTAGAAAATTAAACAGTGTCAGGGTTTGTTTTTGGCTGGGAAGCCAACTGGCACAGTCTGGCTGCACTCATACTACGAAACTCTCCCTCACCCTCCAGAACAGGGTTGGCAGGTCCAAACTGCCTACTGGGGACAGTCACAGCCCTTGTTACCTCCCAAATTGATCTTAGGAATGGTTTGAAGAACTAGCTGGCCTATACCATAAACATGCTGGGCATTGGGATAACAGTGTAACCACAGAGATGATTGAGTTCCTGTGCACAGGAAGGTTTTGTTATTAGTAGAGCCATAGTCTCTTTATTCTGAGAAATTACCTGGCTTTCTGAATTTCAGATTTTCTTAAATATTTTCCATAAGCTAGGGATCCAACACATGGCTGGGCTAGTAGTGTCTCTACTGGGCAGGATTTCACAGCTATTGCTACCTGGTGATGGAAGTTTTCTATCCAAACAGATGTTTTCTGACAAGCAACCTTGCAAATATCATCTTGTTGTTAGTTTTGGCTGTTTATGCTTGATATCTCCTCTGGATGCAGGTAATTCCTCCCTATAATGGTTTTGGCTTCGTTGAAGACTCTCTTCAGAACTGCTTTTCACTGTTTCCAAAGCCTCCCCGGAAAAATATAATTAAGATGCTAGAGAATCACCTCAAGGTGCTGCGATACCAGGTGTCCCTGGTAAGTGCTTTCCTTGACCTTATAGGGCCAGCTGATGTTGTGGAGACAAGGGGTGGGAGGAAAAGACAAGGCTGATGGCAAATCCTCCTCTGTGCCACTGAGAAAAGAGAGTTCCCCAAGCCACCACGAGTGACCCTCGAGTGCCGTTGGGTTATTGTGTACTTGCTGTGACAATTAGTAGCACGCAAAGGTTAAAAAAAAAAAACAAACCAAAACCCAAAAACCCAAGGCCAAAAACATACAAAAGAGTCAGACTACAAAACCACAGCCATTTATGGAAAAACTCCCACTGACATCAGCACGTGACAGATGGCCCTAACTGAAACAGCATTGCAACTGGGCACTGTGCCTCTGCCTGCCTTCAGCTGCCACCACCAGCCTGAGCTTGCTGTCCCCCTGCTGCTGGCTCCAGCTCCTTGTCCTTCTCCAGGCTGGTCCTGGGTGCAGCAGCCAGCAAAAGACTGTGTGAGAAGAGCCACCAAGTGCCAACGCAGAAGCTGTGGAGCCCACAGGGATGGTGCTTTCCACCCACGACCACGGCATTCAGGCCCCCTGGCCTTTGTGCCAGCTTTTACAGTTGGTTTATGCAAGGAGCCTCTGGCATTTCCTGCGCTGCCTGCTGCCTGCCCTCTCCAAACACTCAGGGTGAATGAGGGCTGATTTCTTTTCCCTATTGTGCAGGAGCTCCTAAAGGTCACAGCTGACAAGTTGAGATCCACTTAATTTTACACTGAGCAAGTAAACCTGCTGGCGTGTCAGGGGAGTGCCTTCCTGTGACTAAGAGCTGGCACTCTCTCAGGCACCCATTATAATGAAAAATTTAACTTTAATACTGAATTTTACAGCCAATCTCTCTCTGGGATGAATCATTCCATATAGGATATTCCTTTCTCTTGGGTTACTCAGCCTGTGGAAACACTGAATATATTTGTTCGCTGTGGCTCGGAATCTGCTTCTCTTAGCCTGACTAGAGCAAGTAACCTTTGAAATTCAGATACTTAACACTGCCTTAGGGCTTTGTTATGCTATTTCAGCATATCTGTAGCTTTTGGCCTACATCAAGAGCTTCTGTTAGTCAGCTCTAAAAAATGCGATGAACTCTGGGTGCTTATGAGTGGGTTACAAGGTGCTCCAAAACACCCCAGGAAAGAAAAAACCTGGCTGAAATGTTCTTTTCCAAAGCCACTCCCTTTCCTCTAGGAATCACCAAACCCCGAGGACAGAGAGCGTCGTTTCATCCTCTCTTATTTCCTCTCTGATGACATGATCAGCATCTATGAACCCCAAGTCCGCAACTCCGGCATCATTGGAGGAAAATATTTAGGAAAGACCAGAGTTGCCAAACCAGGCTCTTCTGTAGACAACCCCACGTACTATGGGCCCTCTGACTTCACCATCGGTTCTACAATTGAAGGTAAAATCCAGCCTGGATTGATAATACTCCCTGAGCATTGGTTTTTAGTGCCTGCTCTGAGATGTCATTTATTGCACGGACGGGGCATATACTTTTCCTCCCTTGGCGAGTAGGGCCCGAGAGGCTGGGGTTATTCAGCCTGGAGAAGAGGAGGCTGAGGGGAGACCTTATTGCTCTCTACAACTCCCTGAAAGGAGGGTGTAGAGAGGTGGGGGTCGGTCTCTTTTCTCAAGTCACAGGCGACAGGACGAGAGGAAATGGCCTCAAGTTGCACCAGGGGAGGTTCAGGCTGGATATTAGGAAACATTTTTTCACTGAAAGGGTTCTCAGGCATTGGAATGGGCTGCCCAGGGAGGTGGTTGAGGCACCATCCCTGGAGGTGTTCAAAAGACGGGTTGATGTAGTGCTGGGAGGTCTGGTTTAGTGATGATGCTCCTTGTTTGTTGTGTGGGTGTCTATTTTTGTCAGTTGGGTTGACGGTTGGACAAAATGATCTTTAAGGTCCCTTCCAACCTAGAAGATTCTGTGATTCTGTGAAAGATCTGTTCCTTCTGGCTCTCATCACGTTTCAGTTTCCAGATCACCAGCTGGTGTACATGGATAGAACTCTTGTTACTGTCACGCTCGGACCTTTGACATAATTAGGAAAAAGAGCTACATTCTCCATAGTATGTGTTCAGTTTACATTTTTGGGCTGGCCAGGGTTCACAAGGGTTAAAGCTATGACTACCAGCAGCAAAGGCCATAAATCTATCCTGTAAGGAAAACAAATGTAATCCTGAAATATTTAGAAACACACCAGTGCTAATGGGGGAGTCACTGTAGGCCCAAGCACGGGGACTTTGTCCTTTTCAGTCCTTTTCAAGGACTGAAACAAACAGAACTCACTCAAACCTGGAACAGAGGAACCGTGCTCTCTCCTGGATGATGAAGTGACTTACCTGTGCTGAAGGGCAAGTAACACTGTTTTCTTTAATGCCTCTTCCCCAGTGTTTGGCCACAGGTTCGTTATCACTGACGCTGATGAACATGTGCTTAATTATATGGAGAGCAACGCGGAGAGTTTCCCTGCAGCAACACTGCAGTCCCTGAGGGATCATTTTCGCCCACGGCAGATGGCAAAGAAGGCTGCCAACAGGTAGGCTTCAAAGGATGGAGTTGTGGAGCTAAATAAGACTCAGGGTTGACATCTAAGGGCATTTCCAGCAGCCTCCATGGGCCCCAGCCCACGTCTAATGGTTCTAATGGTTGCTCAGCTGGTTATTCAGCTCCAAGAGCCTGTGTCTGGACACATACAGAGGGGTTCAAGTGTGCACAACGTAATGCCGTGGCTGCTGCTGACTCAAAACCCTTGTGGGACAGCTCTGGCTCAGCAGCAGAGATATTTTCAGCTAAAAGTTATCTTTTCCCAAAAGACAGCAGCAGTTAACTGTACCAGATGCTGCTAACAGTATCTGCCTGAGCCACGAGATAGTTGCAGGCTCAGTGAAGGGTTGGTGGAGCCTTTTTTTTTATTTCATTTGCTCTGGCTGTGTTTATCAGCCCATCAGAGTGGAGACCACATCCTCTTTTTCAGCTGTCTGGACACATTTGGGGTGACCCAGTAACAACCCGACTACCTCATGTGACACTTTAGAGTCAGTTACTATCTGCACAAAAGGGAAAACAGTTTCATAGAATCACAGAATGTTTTGGGTTGGAAGGGATTTTAAAGACCATCAAGTTCCAACCCCCCCTGCCATGGGCAGGGACACCTCCCACTAGACCAGGTTGCTCATTGACCATTGTTTACTTAATGCTCCAAGATGAAGACTGAGCTTCATCTCCAAGTCCAACTGGAGGTGGGTTTGCCATAAAAACCAAGCACCCCAGAAGCCTGCTGTCTGTCCAGAAATACAGTCTGGCCAGCCATGCACACAAGTGTCACAGTAAGGCTGCCAGAAGTAGCTTTTACATGAAGTCCTCTTCTTCCTTTCTTCTACAGTGTCAGCTCCACACTTGAGACCGGCAAGCAGGAACTGGATGAATTAATTGGGCAGATTCGGGAAGAGCTGAAGCTCCATAAGTCCTTGGATGGCAAGATCATGCGGGAGGCATTTTGTCAGTGCGATGAGGACGGCTGTGGCATCCTGGACAAAGCCAAATTTTTGGCCCTTTGTGACAGCTTGGGTGTGCCAACCAACGCCTCTCTGGTTCACAAGGTCAGAAGGAAGGGGTGCTGTGCATATTGAATTCCTCTCTTTTATAGTTCTTCCAAAAGTTCTTCTACAAACCAACCCTAGTCAGGCAAGAAAAAAAGCTGCTCTACCCTACAAAGGGGAACAGCTTCAAGAAAAGGGCAAGAGAGTCCCAATTCAGAAAGGCCTCTGAGCTCTTGGACTGAGCCTGTGTCTTAAAGGAGGAGATAATGATTGGTGTAAAGGGAACACATTTTACCCAGGTTGTCCCCAGAATGAGCACCTTAGTGTTTGGCTGTCCTGTTATCATGGAATTGTAGAATGGGTTGGGTTGGAAGGGACCTTAAAGATCATCTAGATCTTCCTGCCATGGGCAGGGACACCTCCCACTAGATGAGGTTGCTCAAAGCCCTGTCCTACCTCGTCTTGAACACCTCCAGGGATGGGGCAGCCACAGCTTCTCTGGGAAACCTGGGCCAGGGTCTCACCACCCTCACAGGAAAGAATTTCTTTCTAATATCTAGGTTAAATCTCCCCTCTTTCACTTCAAAACCCTTCCCCCTCATCCTATGGCTCTAATCCCTGATCAAGAGCCCTCCCCAGCTTTCCTGTAGCCTCTTTAGGGACTGAAAGGCCGTTATAAGATCTCCCTGGAGCCTTTTCTTCTCCAAGGTGAACACCCCCAAGTCTCTCAGCCTGTCCTCACAGCAGAGGGGCTCCAGCCCTCGGAGCATCTTTGTGGCCTCCTCTAGACCTGTTCCAACAGCTCCACATCCTTCTTGTGCTGAGGACTCCAAAGCTGGACACAGTGCTCCAGGTGGGGGTCTCACAAGAGCTGTTCTGTGGAGCCTGAAAATACCAGCTGGCCCAGGTCTCCGAGATGAGCAGAAGAGGTTGTATATCATGATAGACACCAGGCATAGGCTACTGCAGAGCTACTGGGGGTCTATCATGACTTAAGCACACCTGGACTTGAGTTGAGGTGACACTGAGGTGCTGAGGGAATCAGCCTTAGGAAAGCTTAGATGCATTCCGAGTTTAACAGCAACTGAATTGAAGATTTGAGAACTGAGTATTGTACCAAAAAATGATAATAATAAAAAAGAAATTAGAATCGTAACAACTTGGTTAACACAACTAAAACACAGGCTTGCTGGGCACTATGAGCACCAGCACGTGGAGATCACAGAGCAGAAAATGTGAGGGAAACTGAAGAGAAAAACTGAAACGGTGGGGATGGAGGATCCTTTCAGGAATATGACTGGCAAGGATGCTTTCTTAGCATAAGGTGATATGCAGTAGATTAGTGGCCAATAAAGGCAGACTCGGAGTTTAAAAAAATCTAGAAATCAGAGGGAGTATTTCCCTTGCTAAAAAAAACCAAAAAAGCCAAATAAAAACAATTTTCTAAACCAGCCTACAAGTATCTCAAGGGAGGGTTGAAGGAGGAGGGAGCCAGACTCTTTTCAGTGGTTCCCAGTGAGAGGACAAGGGGCAACGGGCACAAGTTGGAACAGAAGAGGTTCCACTCAAATATGAGGAGAAACTTCTTCACAGTGAGGGTGACAGAGCCCTGGAACAGGCTGCCCAGGGAGGGTGTGGAGTCCCCTTCCTTGGAGATTTTCAAGACCCGTCCTGAGTAACATGCTCTAGCTCTAGGCAATCCTGCTTCAGCAGGGGAGTTGGACTAGATGATCTCTATGGTCCCTTCCAACTCTAAAATTCAGTGAAATTCAGTGAAATTCAGCCAACTGCAAGCATGACAGCTGTGGCTAGAAAGGTGCCCAGGCTATTTATGTCTCTGAATGGGCACTGAAAAAAAGCCCTTTGACCAGCACCCTGGGCTTATGCTGTACTAGAATTCACCAGAGACCACTCTGCCCTGAGGAATTCACCGGGGGGTGACAGTCCTTCCTGCTCCCACTCCAAAAATGGGAGATGTGGTGACGTGCCCAAGAGCACGTGGGGAACCTGTGACGACTGAGGCTGAACCCTTGCGTCTGAATGCCCATCTAATTGCTAAAAACATCCCTCTAAAAATGGGAGATGTGGTGACGTGCCCAAGAGCACGTGGGGAACCTGTGACGACTGAGGCTGAACCCTTGCGTCTGAATGCCCATCTAATTGCTAAAAACATCCCTCTACTCTCTTGAAATCTTAATAACGGTGCGGTCAGAGCCCTCAGAAGTGAAACATATGGCAGATGATGGTTAACTACTGCCTGGGTGGAGAGGAGCACAGCTGTCAGTCACACAAGAGCAACCCCAGTAAATCTGTCTCCAGGCGACCAGGGGAAGAGGAATCCTTTCAAGGAGCTGTGATATTAGACCTTTTTTTATCTCCCTGGGTGTCAGAAGGAGATTAGTTATGCAATTAAAGAAACAAAACCCCCTCTTTCTTCCCCTTAAGCATACAAAGGCTATAGCTCTGTAACACAATGCAGGGTCAGGCCTGGATACCAGGACTGGCTCATTAGCATGGCTGGTGCTGAGCTTAATTATCTGCACCTCCACTTTACACCATGTGCACACACCGAAGCGACGCCAGAGACCGGTAACTCTTCTAATATGCTGCCCTCACCCCGCTTTTTGGCAGGGATTTTTATGGGGTTTCTGAAAGATTTCCTGTGCCTATGTCACTCTGCTTTAGGTTTTTTTGTGGATTTATTGCCACTCAGAAGGCAATCGGGGTGAAACTCAAACAAAACACTTCAATTCTTCTCCTGGCATAAATTACTCTCACCTCTAAGCGTTCAATCTTACCTGTGGTTCAAGGCTAATGAGGTGGTAGGCTCTTCCACACAGGGGGATCAGATCTTCTGCTCTGTCACACAAGGGGTACTTCTGGGCACTTTCCCCTAAAAAAAAATATTCGTAGCTTCTTCCAACTCTTTACGGTGTTTGTTTCTTGTTTTTTTTTTTTCTTTTTCCCCAGCTGATTGACCTATGTTCTTGTGGAGAAGACAAGATAAACTACAGTGACTTCCTCAGAGCCTTCGCCTCGTGATCCTTGCCCAGAAGTTGGAGCACAAGACCAGCAATACAATTCTTAGCTGAGTTGACTTGAAGACACCGTACCTCCAAAAGGATGCTCTAATCTTCACCTTTGCTTCACTCACTTTCTCCCTCCCCTCCCCACTGAGCTAATTGCACCCTCACTTCGTTAACCTTTGTTCCTTCCTACCCTCTCCCTGCCTTTTTAGCTGTCACCGAACTTGACCTCACAACTGCTGGATATTGAAATGAAACTCAACAGCAGGAAAAAAAAAACACAGAGAACCAAAGCCAAGTTCTCCTCTTGCTCTCTCAACTTTTGAATGCAGAGCAGCAAGGCTTTGCTAGAGCTAAAGCCTGGAGAGATAATGACTTCAGACTTGTCTTTCAGAGCCAAAAGGGGCCTTTCACCTTCAAGCAGCGCAGACTGCCAGTTTAAATTGTTCTTTGCAATGTGAGAAGATCTAAGAGCCCTGCCCATGGACCACGATAAATGCACCCTTGCTAGTCTGAATGGAAGCAATGCATGGCTGTTATAAAAGTGTTAATAAATCTCCTTTAAATAGAAGTACCTCAATGTCTGGAATAGCTAAGGATTAAAGTGAGGGGAAAAAAAAACAAACCCTCAAAACTGATTTTGTGTTTACTTGAGAGGGAGTGGTGGGTTTAGCTGTCAGGTAGCTGTGGAGACAGCAGGGGTCTGTACCCACATTGCTGACAGCAGCTTTGCATTTGGTTTGGGGGCTGAGATACCATCTAAACCCATCTTAAGCAACCTGTCCTCTCACCAGACAGGTCCAATGAAAAGGAAAAAGCGGCAATTAGCATAGCAATAGAGTTATGACACTCGTGCTCCACTTAAAGAGTCACACTGCTCATCTCCCTGTGAAGGTGAAACCTGGCAGGGACCTTCTCACCCCAGGTGACACCTGCCAGGTCTTGCCATTGAGCGCGCCTGAAAGGCAGCCACCACGCAGACAGCAGAGAGCAAAGCTCTTTGGAACCAAACGCTGATTTAAATCAGCTTTTGTGCTGTGCATTCCCACTTCCCCTCAGACAGCTGAGAGTCTCCTCCACATGACAGCCCCCTCCTGCCTGCTCGGAAAGGTCACCCCTCTTCCCTTCTGGGCCCCGTTTTGTGCTGCTGCTCGCTCCCACCGAGAATCACCACAGCTCTCTCTGGTCCACCTCGGACTTCAAAGCATCTTGGCATCACACGAGGTGCCTTCCGAGCAGCAGCTGACAACAGGCTAACTTCTAAAGGCCACCTTTAATCAGCTTTTCCCAGAGACTAGGAACTTAAGAGATGAAATTAGGCTGTCGAAAAGAAAGTCAGAAGCTGTTTTCTGCACATGCTACGAAGCTGTAAGCCAATACTCAGCCTGGGGCCGGCTGCAGAAAGCATACAATTTAGCTCACCATAAAATATGCACCTAAACCACATCAGATAAATCATATCCTACACATGCCCTCATCCTCCCCTCCCGACGATGAAGGCAGCCACAGATAACTCCCTCAGAAGCAGCTGCCCGTGGTGTGGACACAGGAAAGGCGAGAAGATGAACCCCAGCTGTGGGGAACATGAGGACACCAGAGGCTGCACCAAAGGGACCAGACTGGTCTGGTGTGACGAGAGGGAGAGAGACAAGCCAAACCATCACAGGCTGTTCTGGAAAGGCACAAAGCTCAGCTGGGTGATAAAGCATCAGCAGACAGCAGGGATGGAAGAAATCTATGCCTTTTATTTATTTATTTCAGAAAAATACTTTTGTCGAGTTTATCACAAAAGTCATTTAACAACAAACGACAACAAACAAAAATCCGTACAAAACTTTTAAGTGACAGGGAAGAGTGAAACGAATGGGATAAAATATCAGAGACTGTTACTTCTCCCCACCCCCCACCCCCCTTCCTTCCCAAATTAGGAAATTTGCACTAGAGTATAAATATGGAAGAACATAAATTTTCCTCAAGTTCCTTTGCTGAAGTTTGGTCCATCGAGTTCAACTCTCTTCGAAGAAAAACTACGTGGCCTCTGCCTGGCTTCGACAGCAGCCGCTCTTCCCCGCTGCCAGCAAAACCCCACACGCAGCCCCAGGGCGAAGGAACATGACTTCACGGTTTAAATCCTGCCAAACCCTCTATTACACACTCGTGAAGCTTCCCAGAAGGCTGTAAATCCAACCCCACCATCTCCATCTCCTGCTGACGCGAGTCGGGCTCCGTCTCCCAATCCTTCATCTAAGGCAAGAGGCAGAGGCTGCTGTGAAGCCCCACGTGCTGCATCAAAGGATCTACAGGCTTCGAGACTCACTTGGAGGCATCCTAGAGTAGAAGTTCTTCCCTCCAACTAGGAAGCCCACCAAAAATACATTTTTAAATGGTGAATTCAAGGTAAAGGGGACCTACGGGGGAACTGGAACTTTTCTTCTTGACTGCTAACCCAAACACCATGAGCAAGAAGAAAGAATCCTAAACAAACAAACAAAAAAATCCCAAACAAACAAACAACCGCAACTGTAATAATGCCCCATAACATGAGAGTCACTCAAAAATTATATGTGAAATGCTACATCTGCTCTTCCTCTGCCCCTTTCTCTTCCCAAGCCCGTTGCCCAACTATCTAAGACGAAAAGAGAGAACTACTGCTGGTATTTCACAGCTCTTCTAAGCTAGGGCAGGAAACCCCTAGGTTTCACACCAAAAAATCACAGACTGCTCAATCCCCAACCTTCTTAGGTTGGATAATGGACACAGACTACAAAAGCAGCCTCAAGGCCACAGGAAGGGTGCAAGAAACAGCGTTACAGTGAAAGTAAAGACTTACAGAGTCTCTCTAACGCTTACTGCACTGTGGTAGACAAGAGCTCCTAGTCAGGGTTGGACCTTTTTGGCAGAAGACACTGGGCTTGGCAAGATGGGGCATCAGAAGAGCATCCACTCAAAGACAGTGGACTCACGGCATCTTTGTACGCAGAGCGGTCAAGGAAAGACCGACCACTAAGGGCTTGCTATGAAAATACTCCCAAGTTTGGGAAAGAAAAAGCTCTTTGGGCTGAAGAGAAGGCTTGGTCTGCTGAGAAATGACACGGATGTAGTAGAAGCAGCCAAGGGATGGTGCTGAAACAAACAGACAGAGACAGAAGCAGCCCGTGGCAGCCCCTCCAAGGGAGGGTGGATTGCAGACCTCTGGGATGACAGCGCATATTGCCTTGCAGCAAAGGCTCAGCTCAAAAAAAAAACAAACTCAAAAAACCTGCCACGTTTGGGCACAACAGGAGAAGGATGGGGATTTCTGAGAACTAAGAATAGGGGAGGGCAAAAAAAAAAAGCCCCATCATCTATAGGTTAAAATAAAAAAAACAAAGAACACATGGAAATGCTTCTAAAACAAACTGTCCCTTTTACTCTATCAAAAAGAAAAGCAACAAAACCCACTCCATATAAATGTAGCATATGTTGTAGATACCTTGTAAAGAGGGAGGGCGTTCAGCTACTGATACAGAACACAGAACATGAGAGACTACGTGGCAACATAAGGCACTTGGGATAACGAAGTGTAATTAGCTACTTTACGGAGACGCACAAGGGTTGTGCAAGTGGAAAAGCTGCCTGAAGCGAAGCAGGCAGGAGGAGGAATCATTCAGCAGCCAGTTTTGTTGTTTTGTTGGTTTTTTTTGGGGGGGGACACTGTATGTGTCACCCGTTAAAGGACTGGCCGAGGCTCTGGAGAGATGCCGACCAGCAGTCGCTCTCGGAGGGCACGTGGCAGTGGATGGCTGGGGATGAGAAAAGGCAGCAGAAAGGAAAAAACCTCTCAAACTAGACCTTTTCCACATCCTCCCTAACGTAAAGCTCTTTTCCCCCCCCACCTCTCATCACATTGCACTGCCTCTGAGCCAAAAGGTGTATTATTTACCCAGCAAAAGGGTGATGAGGAGCAATGGAAGATACCACCAAGGGCTCTGCTCCAAAGTCTCCTTCCTCAGTTTCCCTGAAAAAGGGGAAATCCCTCTCCCGGAGTCCTGCTGACATCTCTTGCTTGGGACTCGGAGATCGTGGGGATGGAGGAACAAATAGAATTTGATCAACTGTCCTCATGTCCCTGTGCATTTTCCTCCTTTGGGTGCCCAGTGTGAGCTGGGGCTCAACAAAGAGAGGAAGGGAGGAAAGACACCTATGGAAGGAGTTAAAAAAACCCACCTGACCCAACTCAAAGAAGGGCAGAAAAATCAACTGTCACCCGTTCCTCAAAACAGGAACAATGCGAAGGGCGACTGCGCCAGCCTCAAGCTAGAATTGCACTCGGAGAGAGCCAGGGCTGAACAGGAGGCACATGAAGGACCACCTGCAAGGAAGGTGGCCCTCAATCCTGGCTTGCACATCCAAGAGCATCCAAGCTCCCCATAACCCTCTGCACCCCCTCTTCTCGCCCAGAGAAGGGACAACACCGCTCGCCTGCTGCCGCCGCGGCGAAGAACGAAAGCTACAGCCAGGCTTTGCTGCACAAGAGGCACCAACAGCAAAGCCCAGCTAGAGAAACAGCCCCGGAGGAGAGCTGTGGGGTGAGAGATGCCCACCAAACCTATAGACTGGTGCATGGCACCCCAAAGAAGCTCAGCGAGCTGGCACTGACCCACAGAACCTTGGGCAGGAGATGCTGCTCCCCAGCAAAGAGGTGGCAAGGGAGTGGACTGGTGGGATCCGGGGTTCCCAACGGATCTCCCCCCACCACGTGGAGGTGGCAGCGGGCAGGAGCAAGAGGGGAAAGTGGTCTGCAGCAACAGATGGCCTCTGAGGTAGATTTGAGACAACTCCATCTGCCAACGGCTACGCGTCACAGGTCAGGCTTTTCCTAATACACAAGCTGCTCCTCGCAGCCCCCGGCTTCCTTCCCCTTCCCTGCCATCTCATTCACAGCTCAGAAAGGGATGAAGGGGCTGGGTTTTTTTTTTTTTTTGGAAGAAACCCTGCATTTGATAGCACCTTGGGTGGATACAAGCTCTGTATCCTTTGGAAACAAAGAGTGAAGCTGGTGGCTGCCGATGGCACGGCCGGACTGGTATGGGTAGGGATGAGGAAGGCTAAGGCGACAGTCCCATGGATGCAAAAGTCTTTGTAGCAGCCAGTTTGTCATCTGGACGTGGTCACAAGGCATGAGAACACCAGGTCCACGAGGCACAAAGCAAGCTGGCAAAGGGTCTGGGCTGACAGGAGGCCGACCAGTGCTCAGAGCGGGGCAGGACTCAAGGTTTCATGAGGACCTGAGGATGCTACTGCCCCACAACAAGGCACTGAGAGCTGTGGAGCCTCAAGCCCCGCTCCTGGGGCTGGGAGGTCCAGAACAACTATGGGGCAGCTCACCTCCCGCAGCCAAGAGGGTAAGAAGGACCCAGCTGTACCAGAAGGGCTGGGGCAAGCAAAGGCTAGGACATGAGTCCTATATGAAAAGGGAAATTCTCTCCCTTCTCTGCTGCCCAGCTCTCCAAAATTAGCTCAAAACCAGGGGTCAGAAAAACCCCTCTTGACCAGAGGTCCACCATGAGGCGAGACACGCTTGAGGTTCCTCACTCGGACCCTGGTTTCTATTTGCAGCATCACCATCCTGTGGCACTTGCCAAGCACTGGCCAAACGTGCCCCAGGAGAGGCCACCCTCGCCCGAGAGCACCCCTGAGCCTCGGGGTCACAGACCCCCAGCGCATTCCCCCAGGAGCCTGTTCCCGTAACAGACACATGGTGCCTTCAAGCCACCGTGGGCCCTGACCCCGGGGCTCAGGGAAGTACCACGGAGAGAGGGGAGGAACATGCTGTAGAAGGAAAAAAAAAAAAAAAAAGGATTGTTCGGAACCATCTACGATGCATTTGTAACAATAAACCCCAAAATAACCAAACCCTAAAATAGAAAAGAAAAAAAAAATAAAATTGCACGCTGATTTACGATGAAATGGAGGAAGGCAAAACCAGGAAGGATGGAAAAGGCTCCTAACGAGGGGAAGGGAGCAGGGGAAAGGGACCTTTTTGGTTTTATTGCAAATGGTTCAAGAGAGCAGGAAAGGAAGGGAGGAGAGCGAGAGACACCTTGGGAAGATGACAGGTTTCCAAGCTGTTCAAGGCGACGCTCGCGAGGACCAGGAGGAGGGGCTGCTTCGTAGTCCTGGTATCTTGCCCTCCTCCCCAGGAGACAAACCTTTGCTTCTATGGCGATTTCAGCTTCTTGGTTCGTGGCGAGGTGCCATTCTCTGCTTTCACCACTCCGTTTTCATGGTAACCTGGGGATGGAGAGAGAAAACTTTGTCCCTTGCACAGGCTAAAACCTTAACCTTCTTGGGGCTGGCCTATAAACATGGGGGAACCCCCCAACCACAGCACAACCCTGCTCCACTGGGTTCAGCACAGAGCAGGAGGCATCACCACAGCATCACCTGACGAGGGGATGCTGTAGGAGAGACGTGGGTTCAGTCTCTTCTCCCAAGGAACAGGCGATGGGACAAGAGGAAACAGCCTCAAGTTGCACCAAGGGAGATTTAGGATGGATATTAGGAAAAATTTCTTCACTGAAAGGGTTGTCAAGCATTGGAACAGGCTGCCCAGGGAAGTGGTGGAGTCACCATCCCTGGAGTTACTTCAAAGCCAGGCAGACGTGGTGCTGAGGGACATGGTTTAATGATGGTTTTGTCATTGTTAGGGTGATGGTTGCACTTGATGATCTGCAAGGTCCTTTCCAACCTCGAGGACTCTATGATTCTATGCTGAACCACAGGACTGATGCCTCCCATGGTGTCACCCCTGGCACTCACCCGAGTCCCTCTTGAGTGGCTTGGCTGGCTGCTTGGCGCCGGCAGCGGCTCGCTTCCGACTGCTCTGCTCGTTCCAGTACTCCCGCCAGCGCCGCAGCTGGAAGTGGATGAAGCGCCACATCACCGAGGCCTGGAAGAGGCACACCAACAGCAGCACACTCATTCTGGCAAGGGTGGAGAAGAGGCAGGCTGAGAACAGAGGAGGGAAGCCACCACCAGCCCAGCTTTCCACCCACACCAGGGCTGGTGGCCAAGGTCTCCCTGGGTAGGAGGCACCATCTCTCCAGCCACCATCTCCGCTTTCTGCCATCTCGAGGCAGCCACTTTCCTTTCCCTCCTTGCTACAAAGCTCTCAGGTGCTCAGGGCTCTTAAGACTTTAGGGCAGGGATGGACAAGTAGGATCATCCCAAGCAGCACTGCCCAAACCACAGTCTAGGTTGATGGTTGGACTAGATGATCTTTAAGGTCCCTTCCAACCTAGACGATTCTATGATTCTATAAGATAAGACGTCCCCAGCTGTTGTGTACAACTAAAAGGTGGATGTGGTTGGAAGGGAGCTAAAAATGTCCCCCAAATCCTCAGGCCTCCCCACAGTCCATAGCACCAAAAAGCTTTGGAATGACCAAGCGTGTGCCCTAGCAACTTCTGAACTGAACCTACAGCTGCTGTGCCTGTGAGAAAGGCTCCCAGTCTTGATAGAGAGACTGCAAGGCACGAGGAACCCATTCCATCCCCTGCTTCCCACGTCAACAGGCAGCAAAACACGTCCTTTTCATTGACCACATCCCTGTACCCGCAGCTACAGGTGCAGAAAGAGAAAAGCTTGCAGGCTTTCTGAAGATAGACTTGTGCTTTATAACATCACTCAATGAACAACTTATTTGCTGGCTTTTCCCTCTTGTTGTGGCTCCGCAGCCTTTAACCTCTCCTCGCTCCTTCCACACCCTCCCAGCTCGGCTACAGGTGCAGAAAGAGAAAAGCTTGCAGACTTTCCCAAGATAAACTCATGCTTTATAATGTCACTCAATGAACAACTTATTTGCTGGCTTTTCCCTCTTGTTGTGGCTCCGCAGCCTTTAACCTCTCCTCGCTCCTTCCACACCCTCCCAGCTCGCTAGGACCTTCCCTAAAGGGAACCTAGATCAGATCCCCACTGGAGTTTCCAAACTCAGCAAAAACCACCCTGGGATAACCCAACCAAAGAACATACCGAGAGGTTTCCACAATTTCACAAAAATAAAGAGGGACTCCTGATCAGGGAGGGGAGCCACAGGACGAAGGGGAATGGTTTTAAACTGAAAAAGGGGAGATTAAGATGAGATATTAGGAAGAACTACTTTTTTGTGAGGGTGGTGAGAGCCTGGCCCAGGTTGCCCAGAGAAGCTGTGGCTGCCCCATCCCTGGAGGGGTTCAAGACCAGGTTGGAGGGGGCTTTGAGCAACCTGGTGTGGTGGGAGGTGTCCCTGCCCAGGGCAGGGGGGTTGGAGCTCCATGATCTTTGAGGTCACTTCTAACCCAAACCATTCTATGACTCTAATTCAGTCTTCATGTGAAAAGATGCACAAAAAAAGCCCAGGCAGTAGATACGATAGGGAATTTTCCTACCTGAAGAGGATATTGTTGAAGAGAAAGCTGAAGAAGTTCCCTCTCTCGGGGTCTAGGGCCTGGTTCTCCACCCGTGGCAGCCCGAAGCCGATGACCAGGATGTACAAGGTGAGGGTGAAGAGCCTGGTGACCACGAACACGACGGCCCAGACGTTAAACCTGCAGGAGGGCAAGCAGAGGTGTCAGCAGGAGCAGCCTCCAGCGCTGAGCTGGAAGGTGAGAGCAAGCCCCACATCACGCTGACGGCTCTCCTTGGGCACTGGAGGATGGAAGCCGTGGCCACCTCGCCTGCTTACAGCTTCTCGTTGTTCTCATCTGTGAAGTAGACCAGCCGGGCCATGTGGAAGAAGAATTCTGCCAAGTACTGCAACAGCAAGAGGATCAGCCCCAAGCGAGTTAAGCTAGAAGGTAAGAGAAGGAAAAAAAAACCATCACTGGGCTGGTCAACTTTGGTCCCTCATATCCAGCAACAGCATCTCCCCTGCCATCCCTGAGCTGCAGCAAGCACCAGCCCAGAGGTGGACCTCTCTGCAGCAGCAGAGGTGGGATTTTGATGGGGGAATCCCTGTCTCCAAAACATCAAAGCAGCCCAAACCAGTAGCAGAGCTGGGATGGGTCTGACACGAAGCCCCAGCCGGTGGCATTGCTGCTCTGTGCAGCCACTCAGAGGAAGGATAAAAGGGATTCCAGGCCCTAAAGGCACTACAGGAGAGATGGGGAGGGACCCTTGATCGGGGAGTGGACCAATAGGATGAGGGGGAACAGTTTTAAACTGAAAGAGAGGAGATTTAGGTGAGATATTAGGAAGAAATTCTTTGCTGTGAGGGTGATGAGAGCCTGGCCCAGGTTGCCCAGAGAAGCTGTGGCTGCCCCATCTCTGGAGGGGTTCAAGGCCAGGTTGGAGGGGGCTTGGAGCAACCTGGTCTGGTGGGAGATGTCACTGCCCGGGGCAGGGGGTTGGAACTGGATGGTCTTTAAGGTCCCTTCCAACCTGAACCATTCTATGATTCTGTGATTCCCATGCCATGCTAGGAGAGCACCCAGGGTGCTTCCCACAGCCAGGGGAGATGACCCCATCGGCCTTGAACCTTGGATAACATTTGCTTTGCAACACCCTGTGAACAGAGGACCGCTTGTGGGCTCCTGTAACATCACTGAACTTCAAAAATCAGGTCTGTGGGTCTGTCAAGACTGCCCATGGGTCTACTTCAAGGCCAGGCTGGATGTGGCCTTGAGCAACCTGCTCTAGTGGGAGGTGTCCCTGCCCATGGCAGGGGGGTTGGAACTAGATGATCTTTGAGGTCCCTTCCAACCCAAACCATTCTATGATTCTATGATTGTGGAACTTCAAGACCATCTCCTTTTCACACACTCGCTTTTATTCCCCTTAAGCCCCGAGAGCCCTGCTGAGGTGTCCTGGGTGATTTACACAGCGAAAGGACCCTCTCAGCCCCCATGGGTGGCATGGGACGGGGTGCTGAGGCAGCCCACTCACTTGAGGAGGTACGCGCCGGCGATGTGTACCAGGTAGAGCGCGATGCACCGCAGCTGGCGAGGAATCTCCTCCTAGATGGGGCAGAAAGTCTCATTAAACCCCTCCCTCCAAGCTTGCTTGCCCCAAAGCCCAGTGGACAAACCACCTGGAGCATCCCCAAGGCACGGGGCAGGCAGCAACCCACCCAAGCTCTCACCTTGCGAACTTTTTGGAAGTAGAGCTCGGGCAGGGCGTGCAGCCAGTAGGCCAGCTGGCACAGGTAGAAAAACTTCACCTGGAACCTGAAACGCAGGGATGAGCCGGGTGAGCCAGCCCAAGGGCACGGGCAGAACCCCCGGGGGGAAGTGCCAGGCCATCCCTCCACCGTTTTGAAGGCACGGGATTTTAGGAGGCCATCACTTCTGGGCTGAAATTAGAAGTTGAGCCAAGCGAGACATGCCTGGAGTTTCTCCAGATGCTTGCGCTGCGGTCTCCGTGCTCTCAGCAAAACCTCACTCTTGCAAAGACCCAAGAAGGGAGGATCATCCCCCCCAACCCCACTTCGTGTCTACTAACAGAAAACGAACAGCAACGAGACTTCCCCGAGGTGATGCAGGCAAGAAGCAGCCAGGATGAGTAAATCAAGCCCACAGGACCTTCCTGATGGAGGAGGAAACCCTCTGGGAACGCCCTCCCCCGGGGGCCACAAAGATGCCCACCACCCCCTGGGATCTCTACCGCCGTGTTCCTGGCAGCAGGGTGCCTGCAAAGGGTGCTGCACTGTCAGGGGAAACCCTAGGAAAACCCTAGAGAGGAAGGAAGCAGTCAGCCAGCCCGAGAAGAAAATGCCCTCGCGAGTGCTTACGGAAGATAAACATGCGGGTAGTTCTCCCACAAGCTCCGGGGGTTTGATAGGTATCCTTCCTGCCAAAGAGAAAAGATGCAAGCCTTCAGCAAAAGAAACCAGCAGGGCACGGTGACGACGGGGGCAAGGTCCAGCTAGAGCAGGAGGAGGAACTGGAGATGACACCCGAGTCCTTTCAGCCCGCCCTACAAAAACGACGTGGCCCCCGCACAAGTCAGGTCTCCAAAGCTCGCCCGCGTCCACGGCTCTCCAGCACCCAGCTCAAGTTTTATGTTTGGGGGTTCCTCGGTGGCACAGAGGGTCCCAAGTGGAGGACAGGATGTTTTGGGGTCTGGGCTATGCAAGAGGGATGCTCTGGAGCTGTGGGGGTGAGATGCTGGTAGCGTGGCTATGAGCCACCGTGTGAATCATGGTCCAGGGATGCTTCTTCCCCACCAGCATTTCCAACCCAAATATCACTTAAACAAAAAGAAGTACTTCTGAAGAGAAATGGGAACAGAAAACACCCACAAAAGTAATTGAATATGCACTGCATAGTTTAATTTTCCACTTGCCTGCATTCCCCTATAGCCTCTTGCCTTATGCTTGTAGGGCAGAGCACAGGATGGGGCTCTCTTCTCATCCTGCCCTGGCACAGCTCCTGCCACAGGGGTGATGCACTGGGCTTTGCAAAGAGATGCTGGCATGGAGAACTCCTCCTGCCCAGGAACTGTCTGTCACCATCGCCCATGCTCTGTCTGCCCTAAGCCCTTTTATAGGTTGGGGGAGCCCTGGGGAAGTGCAAGTGCTGCAAAGAGTGACCTACTCTTCACGTGTGGAGGGCCATGGAGATGCTGGGAGGGCTGGAGCCCCTCTGCTGGGAGGAGAGGCTGAGAGAGCTGGGGGTCAGCCTGGAGAAGAGAAGGCTCTGAGGAGACCTTAGAGCCCCTTCCAGTCCCCCAAGGGGCTCCAGGAAAGCTGGAGCCAGGAGCAGTGCCACTAGATCCCCAGAAATGCTGGCCTGGAGGGGGGATAGTAGTCCTCCAAGAAGGGCTGGCGGGACCCCCAAGCAGTAGGAAGGGGACCTGCCCCCGAGCATCCATCCCCAGGGCCACCAGGGACCACAGCTGGACCACAGCCACTGGTAGCGAAGCATCAGCATCATTTCACACTGCCAAAATAGTTGTATCTCTCCACCACTGCCTGTTCTTCCCTCTTCATTTCCTCCCCAAAATGAAACATTTCCACTTCCAATTTTTCTCCCAGCGGTTATGGGTTGAAACATCCTCAATGCAACCCAAAGCACAAGTGAAGCATCAGCATCATTTCACACTGCCAAAATAGTTGTATCTCTCCACCACTGCCTGTTCTTCCCTCTCTATTTCCTCCCCAAAATGAAACATTTTCACTTCCAATTTTTCTCCCAGCAGTTATGGGTTGAAACATCCTCAACCCAACGCAAAGCACGGCGTGGGTTCCCTGCTCCCAGCACTCCCCTCACCACCAGCTCACCAAGAGAGGGATCACAGACAGAAGGAGCACAAACATCTGCCCGTTCACCCCACATCTCTGTAAAGGGCATCTGAAAATCCCTACTCAAATAAGGAAGAAAATAAGACTGAGAAAGAAAGCAGGTCCCAGAGCAGCAGATGGAGATGATGGGGACAGGCAGGACTTCTGGAGTCCAGCTCTGAAAATTTTTTCCAGCCCATTTACTTCTACCTCGCAGAAGGATGCTCTGAATCTACCCTCATTCCATGGCTGGAAAGACCCATCACATTTGTAAACTAAATTTGCTGAAACGTGCTCCATCTTGGCCCACTGGGGCCAAGGGGACAGGCTGGGGATGCACCAAGGACCTCATTGAGGACTCTCCACTGCCACTGGGATTTTGTGCTCCAGAAACCCCAAATCCCACCCAGAGAAGCCAAAGCCCAGCCAGCCCCGTGCCTTACCGTCACCACGACGTACAAGCACCAGACCAAGGAGGTGAGGTGGAAGGCAACCAGCTGACCTGATTCATTGAACTTGCTGTGTTTGACCTTGGAGAGATGGAGACGCCTGTTGATTTTCTGGGAAGGAGCAGAGGGAGAGAAAAGGAAGAAGAAAACATGAGCCACCGGGTCAACAACCTTCCCTCCTTCTCTTCCTCCTCCCCACCCCAAGCAGCTCCCAGAGATGAAGGCTCATCATCACCCCAACCCCCAGACCACCCCCAGAGTGGCATTAAATTGCAGCAGGACTACGTCCCCCCAAGGTATTTAAGATCTTTTGGTGGCTCCAGACGCCAAACAGCACTCACGTCCAGGGCATACTCCTGCACCACCGCATGCAGGATGATGGCGATGAAGATGTAGAAGAGGATGGTGACCAGATCCTTCAGCCCATAGTGATACTGGACCAGCTCCCCGTCTGCAAAGAGACCAAACGGTGGGTCAACACCCCAGGACCCAAACAATTTCCAGGCAAGGGCTTAAGGGTTAGTGGAAGGAAGTTCAGGGGGGAATTATTCCCAACACGCAGCTTGGATGGGGCCACCAGGGAGGTGGAGGCAGAAAGAGGTCATGGCTGTGCCAGTGGCTGCAGGGCTGGGAAAGAAGGGCTCCAGCCTGGGTGGATGGCTTCCCCTCTACTAGTGACACACCTCAGGGGAGGTGACAACTGGGACACTTCAAGCTTCTCCTGCTGTAGGTGAGGGGCTGGGGACAGCCTGGATGAGGAGATGGGGATTTATCAGGGATGAAGACATGGAGGCAGCACTGAAGCAAGTGATGGGCAGGTGGAGCTTGCTCCCATCTTCAGGGCTTGGGATGGGATTTTCACCCCTCCCAGGTTATCATCCAACACCCTTCTCTCCCACCCACCCCCGAAAGCCGCTGGAGCAGGACTCAGCTCCCTAAATCAGGGGATTTCAGAAATTTAGTTTCAGCCGTCAGCTGGTAATTTGCTTTTCCGTTTTCTTGTGTTTTCTGGGTTTATTTAGTGATGGTTTTTTATCAGTTAGGTTGATGGTTGGACTAGATGATCTTAAAGGTCCCTTCCAACCTAGAAAATTCTGTGATTCTGTGAAATACAGATGCCTGGTGCTATGAAGAGATCCGAGACAGTGCCACAGGGCTGGCGGATGAGAAATAGGACCCATGGGTCTTTGAGAGACCCAACAGCACCCAAAATACCCCAGATGTCTGCCTTGAGGTGACTATTTGCAGCCCTGCAGCTTCTGGGGAAGAAGGAGAGTTGGGGAAGCTGCTGTCCTTGTGGCACGAGGGAGAAAGCATCATGATGAGGAGTTCAACCCACTCCTGCTGCTCTCCTTCACCCTGATCCCATCCATCCTCTCCTAATGTCAATGCTGAGAAGAGACCCCGTTATCCCTCGAACAAAGCTTTAGTCCAGATTTCTAAGACTTGAGGTACATGAATAAGGTTTGAATGGGATTTATGAAAAGACCTGGTCCTCAGGAGCCCCTCGGCTGGGTGAAAACCCAGAGGTACCAACCTTGCCTGGATCCCAGAGCTCATAACCCCAGTATAAAAGAATTACAAGACTGAAGAAAATAACATTATGCCGTGTGTGACTGCTCTGCCTCCTCTCCTCTCTCCAGGGCGTTTCAGAAGCTGCTCTAACAGGAGACCTGTGTGCGCTGAGCGAGCTCTGCTGACCATCAGGCCATGGCATCCTTGTTGTGAGGGATGTGAAACAGCCTTGGAAAAATCCAGGTGAGCAACACCCCTTCCTGCCAACCAGCTCCCCACACCAAGGTCCCCCTCCCCACCGCCTCAGTTAACTCCTTCCCTATATTGATACCCCGATACCTGGTCCTGGCGAGATGGTTATGAGCCCCCCCCCCCAACCCCAGCCCCGAGATTTCTGGTAGCAGGAAAGAATAAATCACTTAAGACAAAGGCAGCGGAAGTCGTCTGGACTGTGCCACAGAGGAGCACGGACCACAATTTAATTTGGATGATTTCTTCAACCGTGACATTCGAGGATCTTAAGGGCAGACCTTTTATCTTCCGCTTGTCCGCCTCCTCCTAGTTTCGCTAATCCCAACAACCCTGGCTCTTCCCTTGGATGATTACTCAAACACTGCTAATTAGCTGCAGTTTTCTGCCACCCAGCCAAGCTCCTGGGCGTTTGGCTCATCCTGAGCCCAGGGCTTTATCCAAATCACCTCCTGCTGCCCCCAGCCCGGTGCCCGGATCGCTGCCAGCCCCGGAGGGGCTCTTTGCCAGGAAGGTAACAACCAGCAGCCAAAATACAAACAGGGACTGAGCCTCCAGCCACCTCCTCCTGGCTGGGAGCTGGGCCACGTCCTCTGGTCCATGGGGCTCAGACCTGCACCAGCTCAAAGCCTCCTTGAATTACTCCCCATGTGCACCAGGTCCATCAGCTGCCTGCAGCAAGGGATGCTGTTGCACCACGTGCATCTCCGCACCCTCACCTTGTGCCATATCCCAAAAAATAAAGCCAGAAGGGAATTATCTGCACAGCCCCTGGCGCTCAGCGAAGAGCTAAATCCCTCCTGCTCCTAGGCAGGGCACAGAGCTACTCCAGGCATGCAGTCAGGCAATTTAATCTCTCCTGACCAGGCTTGGAGGTGGATCCTCACCCTGCAGAGCGCACAAAGCAGCCTGGCTATGGCAGAAATAGGAGAAGAATCACAGAATCACAGAATCTTCTAGGTTGGAAGGGACCTTAAAGATCATCTTGTCCAACCATCAACCTAACTGACAAAAATAGACACCCACACAACAAACAAGGAACATCATCACTAAACCATACCTCCCAACACTACAGAAGAAGCCCTAACCCTTCCTGGAAAGCATCTCTTCCCGAGCCCAACCAGCAGCAAGACACAATCAGTGCACTCTGAGCCACTCAAACTTTGGTTTTCCCCCCATATTTCTTATTTTTAAGGTCTCCTTTACCACCAGACAAGGGCCTGTGCCTTGTGCATCAGTAGAGGGTGAGTCCCAGCAAGGCTTTTGGGGCAGACCATGACTTGACCCTCCCTTTGGGGTGTCCACAGCAGAAGCATCTCTTACCTGTTGTAGGCACGCTGACGTTATACTGAGGTAAGATAAACAGGAAGGCAGTCTTGGCTGTAACCTGTCAGAGACACACAGAGAGGGGGGGGAAAAAAACAAATCAGTTGTTGAATCCATTCCCGTGCCACCATTTACTCTCCTTCCCTACCACACTGGGAAAGACACATCGTCCAGGGAGAGGTGGAGGCACCAGCACAGGAACACCTTTCAGCAAGGAGATTGTTAATGAAGAGGTTTGTCAATTAACCTGTCAGAGACACACAGAGAGGGGGGGAAAAAAGCTAATTAGTTGTTGAATCTATTCCCATGCCACCATTTACTCCCCTTCCCTACCACGCTGGGAAAGGCACATCATCCAGGGAGAGGTGGAGGCACCGGCTTCACTCGCAGGAACGCCTTTCAGCAAGGAGATTGCTAATTTAAGAGGTTTGTCAACAGGGACTTTTGGGATCTGGGAAGGAGAAAGGAGTGGATGGATGAGGGAGAAACCTGGAAAAGCAATGCAGTTGTAAAAGCCACCAGCCAGCCTGATGGGAGAAGCTCCCCACTCTCCCTCCTGGAGCATGGACCACCGTCACGTGTGACCTGCTGCTCAGGGGACACCAGGAACCTGACCCAGTGGGCCATTTGCGTTAATTAAAACCATCCCTCATTCCCATCTCCTCCAGGAAGCCACGGTGGGAGACTGGCCTGGGTAGGGATGGCAGCACCCAGCATCCGAGCAAGCTCAGAGGCTGCAAAGTCCCACAGGCTACACGTGGATTTAGCCCCTGCATCTTTGTGGAGACTTTTCTAATAACATCAGCCATGAGACTGGTGAGGCTGGACTCCTTTAGAGACCCCACAGGTCCTCAGGAGGCTTCCGTAAGGCAGGGGAAAAGCAGCTTTGGCAGCCATTTGCGTTAATTAAAACCATCCCTCATTCCCATCTCCTCCAGGAAGCCACGGTGGGAGACTGGCCTGGGTAGGGATGGCAGCACCCAGCATCCGAGCAAGCTCAGAGGCTGCAAAGTCCCACAGGCTACACGTGGATTTAGCCCCTGCATCTTTGTGGAGACTTTTCTAATAACATCAGCCATGAGACTGGTGAGGCTGGACTCCTTTAGAGACCCCACAGGTCCTCAGGAGGCTTCCGTAAGGCAGGGGAAAAGCAGCTTTGGCAAAAGAGCTGAACCTTGTGCTTGCCATGCATGCGATTCCAGCTGCATGTCCAGCATCACAGGCTGGTCCATAAAGGCCACAAAAAAGGGATAAGACATCAGCCCCCCTCCAAACCAGGGCTGTGCTGCTCCCTCTTCATTTATTGCTTTTAATTAGAGGGGATGATCCTCCCCAGCAGTGAAGCAGGAGGCTTTGTGGGGATGGGGGAGAGCATCCCATCCCAGAGCATCCACAGGACGTCCCAAAGCGGCATCTCCAAGACCAACGCACCCTCGAGGTTTGAAAAAAGAGCTGAACCTTGTGCTTGCCATGCACGAGGTTCCAGCTGCATGTCCACATGTGGTCCACAAAGGCCACAAAAAAGCCTGGGATAAGACATCAGCCCCCCTCCAAACCAGGGCTGTGCTGCTCCCTCTTCATTTATTGCTTTTAATTAGAGGGGATGATCCTCCCCAGCAGTGAAGCAGGAGGCTTTGTGGGGACAGGGGAGAGCATCCCATCCCAGAGCATCCGCAGGACGCTCCAAAGCGGCATCTCCAAGACCAACACACCCTCGAGCTGGGGCCACAGACATCCCACACCAAAAATGCCTTCATCCCATCCAACCCCACGCCAGCAGCAGATCACCAGAGATTTTTACCTTCTCAGTAGCTCCTCAGCCACCTCTCCATGGCTTCACAAACACCCAAAAAAACATCCCACACCCTTCAAACTCCGATGGAGACGAGCTGCATTTCACACGGACATCGCTTCAACCGTTTGGGAGCTGCAGGCTATTCAAAAACCCGGCTGGAAATATTGCTTCACGTCTTGTGGGATGTATCCCACATGGTTGGGGAGGGGGGGGGAGATACGTGGGGGCTTTGCCAAGCGTTCTCATCCCGCCCCCACGAGCGTTGAGCAACCAGCTTCGGCTCCGCTGCCCATCCATCCCCGTGCAGCCTCGGCTGGGGGAAAGCAAACTCTGCAGAGTGTTTTCACGATGTTTGGGGATTGCTATTGCTTTTTTTCTGCTTAAAAATAAACAAACAAACAAAAAAAGGAATCCCACACGTTGTGCTCTGCTTGTAGAGGAGTAGAGGGAGACCACGGGCAGAGTTTGGGGTGGTAATGGAAAAAGCGTGTCGCCTGGCCTCACGCTGGCTTAAGGAGACATTTCTGGCTCTTGGAAACCTTCCTGGCCAGGAAAGCAAAGTTGCTTCATCCCAGAGCGGTACAGCACAACCAGGACCTAGACTTTACATCCAAACCTCATCACAAGCCAGCGCAGGGCATGAATCATAGAATGGTTAGAGTTGGAAGGGACCTTAAAGATCATTGAGTTCCAACCCCCTGCCCTGGGCAGGGACATCTCCCACCACATGAGGTTGCTCAAACCCCCATTCAACCTGGCCTTGAACCCCTCCAGGGATGGGGCAACCACAACTTCCCTGGGCAACCTGTTCCAGTGTCTCACCACCCTCATGCATGAAACAAATGCATGAACCCAGTGGTGGCCATGATGCTGCAGGGATGGGTGGCCTTGTCATGGATGTGCTGATGGCAGCAGACAGTGAAGGTTTTGCAACCCACCTGAGCACCTGGCTGATACGCAGAGGTGTAAACAGCTAGAAACAAGGCATCATCTCCAGATGAAGTCTCCTAATCTGCTGGAGCCAGACTTGTGGGTGCAAGAAAACAACCTTGGAGCGTCTCCAGGCTGGGAAGCAATGCCCACATGGTGCTCAGCCCCAACTCTGTTTGCAAGGGTTCTCCTAATCTTCCATTCTAGAGGGTCTGGTAGGAAGGTTTCCCCCATCCACTCAAGGATCAACTAATGCTTTGTCCCATCTCCACACCTGCCTTTGCTTCCTGCAGGCCAGAGGACCACCAGCAGTTTCAAGGGCCATGTCTGCACTCCTTCACCCTTCCACCTTTTGTTACAGAGAGGTAGTGGATTGCTTGCTAAATGCATAAAATGTTTTACAGCCTAAGACAAATGTAACCTCCTGGATGTAGGCAGGCTCCTGACTGATTTCCAAAGATGAACTGCCTCTCTTCTCCATCTAATGGATGTGGAAGCCCAGGCACACACATGCAGTCACTCACTAAGGGCCACCGCAAGAGCTCCAGCAGCCAAATTTGAACCTTCAGATATCCAACCTCCCCATCCACCTCTCGGCATCTCACAGACCTTATGTGGATGGAAGGTCTCCTCTTGGACTGTAAAAGGCATTCCTTTCTCCTGCAACCAGTTGGGGAGTGTTCTCACTGCCCATGGAAATATCTGAACAGGTTTTCACCCTGGAAATGCTCCCCTGTGGGCACCAGCAGGACTTTAATGGCAGCACTTTCAGAGGTGGGTCCTGGGACTTTCCAAGGCCTCAAAAGACTGGTCACATCTCCTTTTGTGAGCGCTTATACCTCCACACAGCACAAGAAATCCAGAACAACACACTTACCATCCAGCTTAGCTCCATCCTCCAGGACCTACAAAGCCACCAGGGACCTGATCACACCCCACACCCTTGGCCAGGTCACCTCCACCCCCTCGCCACCACAGTTCAGATAGGGAAAGAGCTGTGGTTTCCAACAGATGAGGAGATGGAGCATGAAACACATGGGATGAACCACCTTGAGCAAGACACCGGTGACACCCCTCCAGCCTTGAAGGTGAAGGACACCCTGCGTGTCCACAGAGGGACCCGTGTCTTTTTGCTATTGCTCACAACATGCTCCTTACTGGCTATCATGGAGGGAAAAGTGACCTGACTGAGGTCGTAACTGAGCTCCATCAGGTCATCAGGCTCCAGAATCCCAAGCTGGAGCCGTAGCATCTCTTCCACCACATCAACTGGGAGGACACGTAGGGCACCCATCCCCACACAGCCCTGTGTAGCGTACAGAGACAGGAACACCACCAAGCAACTGAAGCCTCCTGGAAAAAGGGAGAACACTTGAACCATGACCTCCAGCAAGGCCACCTCCAGTTCCCCTGTCAGGCAGAAACCAGCTTGGGAAGGAGCACCAGGGATGGCAAAGCTTTAGACCCCATGTCGAGCCTTTTGCAGGCAGCGAAGAGAAAGGAGAAGTTCGTAAGGGGAAGAGCAACATGAGGATTATTCAGAGGCACAAGACGCCCTGTTTACTGGGAAACAAGATGCTGGTATGGGAAAGGAAGCACCAGGCACGCTCCTGCCTCGCAGGACAACCAGCAGAGCTGGAGCTGCCACAAAACTGCCCCAGGCAGGGGCAGAATTGGGCCTCTCCAGGTATTATTATATATTTTTTTGGTTACATTGTGAGGCCACCTCCTCAGCCTGCTTGTTTGGTTTTCCCTTCTTATCTCCAGCCTTTTCTCAAGGCAGCAAATCCTACAGAGCATCACCGTGACTCAGGTAGGGATTTTTAGAGGGTGGAGGGGGGATTTCAGAGAATCACAGAATCAGAGAATCACATGGGGTTGGAAGGGACCTCTGGAGATCATCTAGTCCAAGCCCCTGCCAGAGCAGGTCCACCCAGAGCAGGTTGCACAGGGACATGTCCAGGTGGGTTTGGAATGTCTCCAGAGAAGGAGACTCCACCACCTCTCCGGGCAGCCTCTTCCAGGGCTCTGCCACCCTCACAGGAAAGAAGTTCCTCCTCATGTTGAGATGGAACTTCTTATATTCAAGTTTGTGCCCATTTCCTCTTGTCTTATCCCTGGGCACCACTGAAAAAAGACTGGCCTCATCCTCTTGACACCCACCCTTGAAGTATTTATGAGCATTGATCAGATCTCCCCTCAGCCTTCTCTTTTCAACTCTAAAAAGACCCAAGCCCTCAGATTTGTCTGCATAGCGTGAGGCCTCCCCTCAGCCTTCTCTTTTCCACACTAAAAATACCCAAGCCCTCAGATTTGTCTGCATAGCATGAGGTGAGCAGGGACCATATAGAAAAGGCTGTATATTCTTCTTTTGCTCTTTCCCTTGCATGAAGGGCACCTCTACACAACCCACCACCGCCCGAGGGGGTGAGGGAGATGCTCCTCATCCTGCCTGGCATGACAGATGTGCCTCAACCAGCTAAATTTGGGAAAGAGTTGCCCTGGGGGCTCTCTACAGCCACGCAGAGGGAACGGCATCTTCAGCGGTGAGCGGGTTTCTGGTGATTGATGACACCAACCCGAGGCCCAAAGGGCAGCCGGATGACGAAGAGGCAAAACCCATCGTATCCATCAAGACCACAGTTCCCCGCGATGCTCGGAGCAGCTGGGACAGGGTTTGGGCTGTTTTTCATGGAATAATGCAGCCAGACATCAAATCAGCGCATCCCTCTCGTATCCCCCGATGGCCGGGTGATGGATAATGAAATAATGAATGCCCAAACAATCCCACCAGGTTAATGCACCCATTCCTTGATCATTCAGCAACTGGAAAAATCCACCCCTCTGCTAGCACAGAGTTTGCTGTAAATACAAAGCAGCAAAGCTCCAACTCCTTCCTTTTTAGAAGATGCTGTACTTCTCCCCACCACAAAACACTGTCACAGTCCGAAAAAAATCCGAATTCCCCTTTGGCAGGCACACAAGCTTAGCACCTCTCCCAAAATTTACCCGCTGAGACTCTCAAGCCCTGATATTTTCAGGAGCGTGGGGGTAATTCTTGAGCATCCTTCGCAGGGAGGTACCAGGTCACCCTCTGAAACCCAGTTCCCTTCCCAAAAGCTTCAGCTCGGTGGGATTGGCAGGGTCCCTGGTGTCTTCACCCCGGGCTGGGATCCCCCAGACACGGAGCCATCCCCGTGGTCCTGCCTGGGTTAAAACAGCTTGGGAGGAAGGAAGAGGCTCCGAACCTCTGGCTGGGGGAGGCTGGGGGAGTTTCTGCAGCCCGAGCCGGGAAAATATTTCCAGGGCTTGAAAAACAACTCAAACTAATTACAGATAAAATTCTCTCCCAAGGCTTTTCGCACAACTTAGGGCTTGTTTTTCACCACCACCACCTGGAGCGTGTGTTGAGAAAATACCTCGTGGATCCACGGTATGGATTTGTCACAAGCCCTATATGTAAACTCCAGCACAAACTTTGGACCAAAGCCTTTCAAAGTAAACAGCCAGCTTCCACAAAAAAAATCCCTTCCCCAGGGCTGCACAGCCCCCTCTGCTCCCTCAGATACGCTCGTCCCCCAGCACGACACCATTACCACTGCCTCGTTTATTCCATTTTTCAAAACAAACCTAAAAATCTGCTTTTTTTTTTTCTTCTTTTTTCCACCCCCCCACAACTATTCAGCCTTTAAGCCGCAGTTCCCACATCTGGCAAAGACCCCGGGGAGGGTGGGGGGGAGTGGAAGAGGCAGAAACATGGTTTGTTATCCCTCGTTAACGACGGGAAGGCCTTAATTTTTTGCGGAGTACTACGGAGGGGAGCGGGGAGGGGAAAAGTATATTTAGCAGGAAGCCTGGAAATAGCAGCTCGTTTGTCAGCCGCCTTCGTTTGAGGGTGTCACAACCCGGCGTTTGGGAGCCCGTGACTCACTGCCACGGCCCCCTGCACGAGGGGGAAACCCAGCAAGGGCACGGCATCTCTTAGAATATCACGTTTTTATAACTTTATTACCCTCACTCCACGCATAAGCATCGGGTCCTGCCCTCTGCTTTGGCCCTGAGCTCCTGGCAGCCAGTTCTGGGTGTGAAGGAGAAAGAAGATTGAGCCTCAGTTTCCCCATCTTACAGCAAATATGACTGCAGCCCCCATCTCATATAAAATCCCCCCCAAAAACCAGCAAGGTTTACCCCAAACTCAACCCCAAACCACGTGGAGGAGCTGTCCTAGATGGGACACAGGCCACTGGGCACCTGCAGGTCAAACCCAAGCTTGGCCTTGGCTTCAGTTTTCTGCAAAGCAGGGTGGAAAAAGATATGCAAAGTCCCCCCAAAAACCAGCGAGGTTTACCCCAAACTCAACCCCAAACCACGTGGAGGAGCCGTCCCAGACGGGACAGAGGCCACTGGGCACCTGCAGGTCAAACCCAAGCCTGGCCCTGGCTTCATTTTTCTGCAAAGCAGGGTGAAAAAAGATATGCAAAGCGATTTCTGCGCAAGGATGGAGAGCACCTGTTTCACGTTTCTAAATGCAGTCACTTAAAATGGGGTTTGACCTTAAAAAAGGGGGAGATTTTTCTGTATGGGCTCCAGCTCGCTCTTGGATGAAGTGGCCACAAACACGCACCAAAATCCCTCCCTGGCACCACACAGATGTGCACCGGGTGTGTTTTCACACCCTGAAGGCTTAGGACTGGGTGGGAAGACAGAAAACCCCACAGCTCCCAGCTCAGGGCAGCTCTTTTTAGGGGAGACCCCCTCCAAACCCTGGGCTTCCCTCCCTGAGCAACGCTATTATCACCTAAATCGCACCCAAGACTGGAATAATCAAGTCCAACACACCCGTATCACCGGTGAGCAGCCTCGTGTGCACATCTGGATGCCCACCTGCATCTTGCACACACCTCTTGTGCACATCTGGATGCCCACCCACGTCTCCAGCTGCGGAGAAATTACCAGGGTGGGGGAGCCCATTGATCCGTTTGGACAAGGATGAGGTTGTGCATCCAAAAGGATGCTCGAGACGTTATCTCACGCCACTTTTTGGGATGGGGAGACCCCCGGCAGCCCTGGAGCATCACCCCAAGCACGGTATGGGAGCAAGCAAGCACTCAACTCTTGGGGGCCGCCTGGGAAAAGGTTAAAAATCCCGTTTGTGCCTCCCCAAAGAAACCTCCCCTGCAGGAAACGGCCTATTGTGAGCAGGATTTGGCCATTTCCGCTGAGCCCGAGCTCGGCCGTGGCCACCAGCATCAGGGAAGGTGGAAGCCCAGCAGTGGGGTGGGATGCAGGAGGAGGAGGAGAAGGGATGGGGACATGTCCTGCCCACCGTCAGCACTGAAAAGGCATCGAAAGGCAGAAGCATCTGAGGTGCCACCAAAACTCACTGTAGAGATGGTGTAAATGGGAACGGAGGGTTTGGAGGGGTGGGAAAGAGCCCGAGTTCTCCTCCAGGGGAGAAGCAGAATGAAGAAATGAAATGAAATCACAGAATCACAGAGTCTTCTAGGTTGGAAGGGACCTTAAAGATCATCTTGTCCAACCGTCAACCCAACTGACAAAAATAGACACCCGCACAACAAACAAGGAGCATCATCACTAAACCATACCTCCCAGCACTACATCAACCCGGCTTTTGAACACCTCCAGGGATGGGGCCTCAACCACCTCCCTGGGCAGCCCATTCCAATGCCTGAGAACCCTTTCAGTGAAAAAATTTTTCCTAATATCCAGCCTGAACCTCCCCTGGTGCAACTTGAGGCCATTTCCTCTTGTCCTGTCGCCTGTGACTTGAGAAAAGAGACCGACCCCCACCTCTCTACACCCTCCTTTCAGGGAGTTGGAGAGAGTGATATGGTCTCCCCTCAGCCTCCTCTTCCCCAGGCTGAAATGAAATGAAATGACCACAAGGACCAAAAGAGCTGTCCCAAACCTCACGGCCAAGGAGAAGATGAGGGCAGATGCTACGGAGTGGGGATGCAGAGGAGAGCTGAAAGCCACCCCAGCACAGTGAGCATCATCTCCCTGAGGTTTGCCGGGAGAGCTGCCTCTCCATTAGGGGAGATTTAATTAAAAGACATTAATAAAAATAAAAAAATAAATCAGAAATGCCACAAAACTCTTCCTGCCACCACCTCCACTGGGGGTTTCATTTCAACACCACCCTTGGAGCAACACGTCAACCAGAAGCCACAGCAGCAGCGAGCCCAGGAACCTCCTCTCCGGGATGGGGACACAAACCCACAGGCACCAGCACCCCCGAAAAAACCAGCTGTGGGGACAAACCCTGATGGAGAT